CTAGTTTTAGCTAAATTCCCCCAGCCCCCACTGAGCACATCCCCGTAAGAACATTCTTACGCAGTAGCTACCAGCATAAAAAAGGACACGCACTGGTTGGTGACCCACTCATGCGCGTGTCACACGGTAAGTTCAGTCTTTCGGATCACCCCACAGTCGATCTTTGATATTTTCACACACGTCTTAAATTCTTGGGGCAGTGGGTTTTGCTGGCTTTGTTGAAGATTTCAACTTTATTTTTGCAAACTATCTTATAAAAACCTCTTCCTTATATTGTATATTTGAAAACTTAAAAACTGGAATGATTCAGAGTCACCTGTCCATCTAAAACTACTTGCCTTTTCTGGGCATGGATTCTGGAGTCCCAGCTAGCCTGAGTGTGAGGGCTGGCTGGCTAGTTTTGACTGGACACTTCTTCCATTCCCTTTGAATGTTGGGAAGGAATTCGTTTGCGGGTTCTTAGCATGCTGGATACAATATCTATTGGTGCTGTCCACTGTATAACTTCTTAGCGTGCGTGCTAGATACGACGTCTGTGTGCTGTCCACTGTGTAACTTTAACTCGACGACGGATAAGAGCTTTTCCTCTTTTTCCTGATGAAACCAAACCTGCCTTCCTCGTGTTACTCTGTGGTCCCAGGTTTTGTTTCTCGTCGACATCCCCATCAGGGCCCCGTTAACACCCACAAGCCCCCTCTATTTTACATTTAAAACTTTGCCCATACTTACTGTCAGGTCCCAGGGAAGCCCAGGCTCACTCAGAGCCCGTGGCTTCTTCCAACACTTCTCATTCTGCCACCTACCCTAAACCTGTCCAGGCCAGGGCTGGACTTTGCCTCCCGTCCCCCAGCTTCTCTGATTCCTGTATAACCCAGCCAGTTCTGCTACCGCTCTCTTGGTTCCCTGTGTCCTCTTGCTCTCCTGGCTCTCTCTTGGCCCTGGCTGGCTCTCTCTCAGCCTGCAGGCTCTTGTCTCTCTCTCTCGGCTCTGCTCATGGTCTCTCAGTTCCCATATGCTCACTTTGCACGCACCGCCTTGACCCTGTTCAGCCTGGACCCCTCCAGAAGCCTCTGGCTGTTGTCTCCCTCACGTCTACAATAAAAACCTCTCCTCAGTCAATTCAGGAGTGGCATGTCCTCATCTCCATTCACTTCATACTTTAGTGTCATTTTGTTGTTGTTACTATAACCAAATGCGTAACAAGAAGCAACTGGGGTGGGTGGGTGGGGCCAAAGTTTGCTCTGCTGTGGCGGATTGAACGAGAATGGACCCTGTAGGCTCAAAGATGTGAACACCTAGTCCACAGTCGGTGGAACTATTCAGGAAGGGTTAGGAGGTGTGGCCTTGTTGGGGGAGGTGTTCTCAAAGCTGAGAACACACTTTGAGATTTCAAAAGACACCATTATGTCCTCTCTCTCTCTCTCTCTCTCTCTCTCTCTCTCTCTCTCTCTCTCTCTCTCTCTCTCTCTCTTGTTTGAAGATCAAGACCTGAGCTCTCAGCTGCTCCAGCTAATGTGTCTACTGCTTGCTGCCATGATGGACAATGAACCCTCTGAAACAGAAAGCCTAATTAAATGCTAATTTCTTTTATAAGTTGCCTTGGCTGTGGTGGTTTTTTTTTCATAGCAATAGAAAATTAACTAATACAGAAGTGGGCTACTGCTGTCACAGGCCTGTTCTTGCGGTCTCATGTAGGGATGCATAAGCCCTGACCTCCAGTTGCTCACATATACCTCCACATATGCAGCAAGACAGCCCGGACATCTGCAGCAAACAAGCTTGTGCACAGAAGCGTAGAGACAGCAGTGGGATGGTCAACAGCTAACTTTTAGCTCAGGGTCACGTCGTATAGGACTTTAAGGCTGGTCCAGAGACATAGCTATTTGGCAAAGAATGTGGCTTCTTTTTACCCTTGCCCTGAGACTTTGCCTGAGGCTGCATTTGGGACAAATTTCCCTGGGGAAGATTTTAGAGCAGTCTAACATTTTATCTGTTTCATGATTTTTAGTGTTCATGCCCATGCGGGTCTACACCGATAAAGAGCACGTGGGACAAAAAAAGAAAAAGAAAAATGTGTAGTTTGAAGAGTGAAGAGTAACCTGATCAGAAGTGGAAGAAAGGGAGTGACGACCTCAGGGCAAGTCCCCACCCAGCTAAGCCTCCAGGCTGCAAAAAGAAAAGCTGGGGAACCGTTTGCCCCTACAAACCCAGCAACCCAGCAAAGGCTGCTTCTGCACCTGTGACATGAGCTAGGCTCCCTCCCGAGTGGGGCGGTCAGGCAGTGTCCTCTGCTGGTCTTGGCCTTGGAGTCACAAAGGATTAGTGAGTAAAGAGGTTGTAGGATCGACCTTCGTCATTTCGGAGAGCCGCTGAGGCCAGGCACGTGGCAGGGGACTCTCTGAAAGGAGGCCCAGAGGTGCTCTCGTGTGACTCTGTGTGACGCTGGAGATGTCAGAACTGTGGTGTGTGTCACAGGGGAAGCTGCCCACAGGGAGTGGAAGAAAGAGAGAGAGGTGTGCTGCAGCCAACGGAGCTGGGAAGCAAAGCAGCTAAGCCCTGTGACGTCAGACGTGGAGCTACTGGGCCTGGAGTTTGCTCTCTGGTCGGCGGTCCTCCTTCGGTCTAGCATCTCGTCTCCATTTCCTCTCCTGGGATAGCAATGCATACTCTGTGCCACTGCATATTGGAAGCGTACAATTTGCTTTTGTATTTTACAGGTAATAGATTATAGCTAATAGATTGCCCTGAATCTCAGAAGAGACTTGGTGGTGGTGGTGGTGGTGGTGTGTGTGTGTGTGTGTTTTGGTTTTTCGAGACAAGGTTTCTCTGTATTGTTTTGGAGGCTGTCCTGGAACTCGCTCTGTAGACCAGGCTGGCCTGGAACTCACAGAGATCTGCCTGCCTCTGCCTCCCGAGTGCTGGGATTAAAGGCGTGCACCACCAACGCCCGGCGTGGGTGTGCCTTTTTAACCTCTGCAAAATGTGACCTGTCACCATTTCTGGGAAGCCAGAGTTTACCATCCTGGCCAGTATTTAAAGCTCGCTTTGAATTTGTCTCAAAGCTATGGTCATGGTCTTATCTCTCCCAGTGGATTAACAGGGCCGAGGGGTTGAACGTGTGGTTTGACTGAGAGAGGTCCCTCTAGGCTCTTATGTTTGGATGCTTGGTCCACACTACATGGAACTGTTTGAGAAGGACTTGGAGGTGTGGCCTTGCTGCAAGCGGAGGTTTCAAGTGCGATTCTCAGCACTGTCTCCCTCTGCCTCCTACTTATGGATCCAGAGCCGAGGACCTTTAGCAAAAACTACTTTTCTGAGCTGGGTGGAGACTTAGCGTTCTCAACTGCCCCAAACATGGAAGAACTAATCTGTTTGTCTTTTAATCACCTGGCCAAGGGACCACACTCAAGGTGGGATCCTTGAGCCGTGCTAATGGGATAGGAGGAATAATTATCCTGTAAGTGAGATGATGTCATTTCCTTCTCCAAGCCCCTACTACAGTCTCTCTAGCAGAGTCACAGCCACGGAGCTTCCTGAGACGGCCCACCTTGCTGAATGACTCAGAGAAGCCTAGCTCTCCCTTTCCTCATTCTCTCTCTCTCCTGGGCATGCCTCGACTCTTTGGACCTCACCCTTTCTCAACGGCTTGTCTACCAGGCAGCTGCCTTTTGTGCTTTTAACTCAGACCGCTTGGCTTTCTCTCTTTCTCTTTCCTGTCTCCTCAGGTAGCTGCTGAGATGTACATGTTGCTTACTTGAAGATTTTTCTCTCAAACTCTGATCAACTTGCCCTTAAGTTTCCTTTTGAACCAGTTCTTAAATTTTATTAATGAGATCAAAATAAAGAGCCCCAGAGAGGAACCAATTTTCCCCCAAAACATGTGACAACCCCTCTGGGACTGCCCCAAAACTTCCGGTTTCACTGGACTCTGTGTCAGAGAAGCTTGAGTCTCAGTATCTGCAGCACCCCGAGTGAGAGCCCAGAGTCCAGAAGAAAACCCTTCCAGGGTGGAGCGCTGGATCCCAAGGTCACACGCACAGGAAGCCATGCTGAGGTCAGGCCTGGGGCTGAGGTTCAGCTGCAGTTCTGGTGCTGCCTCAGGGGCTGTGAACGGAGTCACCGGAGGCTCATTCCTACCCCACGTTCACAGTTCCGTACGTACCCAAAGCTGCCTTTCTGTGGGGGTCCGAGCCCTCTTCCCTGGGCTTAGTGTGACCCAGAGTGACCTTGACCCTGCAGAAGGTTACAAGGTTGAGATATTTCCTGCTGTCTCTGCATAAGTCACTTAGAGAGAGAGAGAGAGAGAGAGAGAGAGATGTGGAAAAAGTGACTGCTGGTTATATTTTTGTCAACTTGACACAAACTGGGGGTTTCTGGGAAAAGAGACCTCAACTGAGAAATTGCCTCCATCACATTGGCCTGTGGGCGTGGCTGTGTCTTGATTTACAGTTGAAGGGGAGGGCCCAGCCCGCTGTAGGTGGTGCCATCCTGGGCAGGCGTTACTGGGAGGTTTAAGAAAGCAAACCAAGCAAGTCCCAGGGAGCAAGCCAGTGAGCAGCACGCCCCCCTCGGTCTCCACTGCAGCTCCTGCCTCCAGCCTTGGACGCCTGCCTGTCTTCCGTCTTCTGATGAACTGTAGAGTGTGTGATAAAACAAACCCTTTCCCCCCAAGTCGCTTTTAGTCGTGGTGTTCACTACAACAAGAAACAAAATGAGAGACCAGACCCCAGACAAAGGAGGCTGAGGATGTGCAGATGGAGGGTGGCAGGAGCACGGGGAGGGATGGGACTGCACGGGACGGGACACTGAACCTCCCCAGCTGCTCCAGAAACTCTGCTTCTCTGCAAAGACCGGATCCTGAATATCCCCCGGGCTTCAGCCACAAACTGCCCAAACTGAGTGATTCCAAACAAAGGGAGCCATTCTTTTCCAGCCCAAAGTCCAAAGTCAAGGGTGGGCGGGGCTCTCGCTGAGCCTGGGTGGGGAGGGGCACCTCCACACCTCCACTCTCCTGCAGCTCTGCTGGCTCAGGTGTCCCTTGGCTTGCGGCTCTCCTATGTGCAAGTGGTTTCCCCTCTCTTCCTGGGTGCCGCTTCTCCTTACAAAGACGTCGGTGAGTCAGAGCCCACAGACCCCCAGTGTGACCTCACTGTACCTGGCGTTGTCCCAAACCCTTTATTTATTTCCATGTAAACCCACATCCTGAAACTTTGTAGCCATGAATATGGTGTGTGTGTGTGTGTGTGTGTGTGTGTGTGTGTGTGTGTGTGTGGAGAGGAGAGGGAAACATTTAACCCACTTCTGTGCTTAGTGTAGCTTTTGAGAGATGATGTATATTCTCTCTCTCTCTTTCTCTGTCTCTCTCCCTCACTCACTTAATCCCTTCCTGCCCCCTCCTCCCTCCCTTCTTCTTCTTTTTCCATGTTTAAAGTGAGTCCTGTGGGTCTCAGAGAGATCTGAAAGCTCTCCCACCCACCTGAGACACGACTGAGTTTAGATTTGGGTAGCAGGATGACATTTACGACCATGGAGCGGGCAGGGAGGGCTGGCAGGCAAGACTTATGAAATATTCATACACAGCAATAATCTTCGTGGAGAGCAGCCGAGGCCAGGCTTTGTCCAGCACTATTGATTTAGGGACAGTTAATTATCTCCTTCCAAGGATAATAACCCTGCCCATAGCCAGCCCCTCCCCTAGCAGTCCCCGAAAACACTGCAGCCTGTGGCCACATCTCCAGGGTCCAGACTTGCACGGCACGGTGGCCACCGTGGTCCCTGCCTGGAAAGAAACCTGAGCTTAGTAGGTGTGGGCTTTGTGTGTCTGTGCCTTCTGAGGGTGTCTCTTCACCAAGTGTACAGGTCTGTCCCTTCCTTTCTAAAGTGGGAGAAGAGTCAGTCAGTAGTGTGTTTGCCTGGTTCCGTAATTCGAGCTTGTAATTCCAGTGCTGAAGAGGCAGAATCAGGCAGATCCCCGAGGCTTGCAGGTCAGCTACTCCAGCCATGGGCTGGGGCGGGGATCATACTCAGACTCTCAGAAGACTTTGTGCAGGGATGGACAGGGGGTCATTCATTGACTCTTTCACTCAGCTATTCAGAGCTAGACACATATGCTATGCAGGAATATGTGCCCCACTCCAGACTTCGTGATTTGTGGTGACAGGCTCTGTGATGGAATCCCTTGTGCAAGACAATATTCAGAAGTAGAGGAAACAGTGATGAGCTCTAGGTTAGGTTCCCAGTGACACATATGTATATTCCAGTGTATCCCAGACCCTCTTTTTCCTACTCTGGGCTTCTGGCTGTCTGGGGATGGGGATGGGGTCTTGATAGGGTTCTGTCCCCAAACATCATGGAACAGCCCCTGGGCGGGTCTTCATCTAGTGGGCTGTGCCATCCCCTAGGGAAGTGGCTGGTGGCATTGTAGGGACCAGTGTAGCAGCATCCAAATGGCACAGAAGGAAACCAAGGTTTGCAAGCCTCACTGTAGCCACGGGCTCGGGATCTCTCCAGACCTTTCCAGAAAGCTGAGTGGATAAGTGGAGTCTGGTGGCATGGAGGTACAGCTCTCCCGCAGACTGACAGATGTAGGGCAGGCCTGGGTGCCTGTGACACCAGAAGGCCTCAGGGGACCTCACTGTAGGGGACAAGGAGCTTAGGGGTCCCAGTGCCCACCCCCATCTCTTCCTAGAACTTTCCCAGCTAACATATGGAGGGTTGAGAGCGGAAGGCTGTGGTCTGGATCCCCCTTGCACTTCCCTGGAGCCCGGGTCCCAGGCCCTGGGTGGGCAGGATAGCAAGCTGCAGGGGGGCCAGGAATCAGACTGCCGTGGAGGCAGACAGCCACCCCTTCTCGTCACTAAAGGTTCCCATTTCCGGTGCTGCACACCCATCAGTCAGGGATGCTGCCAGGTTTATCATCATCTAATCCTTTTAAAGGTCAGGGACAGGCTGAGACAGAGAGGACAGCCTCCAGCCACCAGCCACCAGCGCCGTAGGAGGCGGGTCCACCCTGCCAGGGCCTCGTCCATCACGCATGTAGCTGGCCTGTGGTAATGAAGGCAACTCTCTCGCTGGCCCTGATCAATGTCCGTCTGCCATCTCTGTCAATAACCGCTGCTGTCCAATCTCATCCCCGACAAAAAAGCACTGGGGTCGCCTGAAGCACTCTGCGTGGTTCAGCGCTGACTTGTCGAGGAGCAGGAACTGAGTTGACTCTTTTGCTAATGAAACCAACTCTGGGGTCTCTGCAGGCGGGTTGGAGGTGTGGGGTGGGATTCGGCAGAGGGCTGGGAGGAGCAGGAGCATTTAGGGAGTTGAACACGTCCATCTCCTCTTTGATGACAGTCTCAGGGTGCTTCTGGCTCCTATAGGAAGCAGCACCTAACTGGGAGACGGCGGTAAGGACAGACCTTCTGACTGCTGCTGCTGGAGAAAGCCAACTCTAGAACTTACCTGTGGTTCCCAGGCCCTAAACCACAGCAGGAGGCTGAGCACCCTGGTCTTTTCTGAGAGTCCAGCAGCAGCCGGAAGCTGGGGACACACCACAGGGGCAGCTAACTTGTAGTTAGGGACTTTCCAGGTCACAGGAGGAGGTGTAGCCAAGCACACCCTTCGCTCACCCCGCCTCTGGCCAAGGGAGGCAGAGAGAATGGGATCCACACGGACAGCCACGGTTTGTGGCTGAAACCAACAGCCTGGGTTTGACTGGGGAAAAGCAGGATCATGCCAGCAGGGGAGTCCCCCCCCCCACTCTTTCTCTCGTGCATACTTTAGGATGTTGGATGAGTTTCTTTGGCCCCCAATAGCAGAACACTGGCCATAGCCATGGGCCTCAAGGTACTGTTTCAGGATCACAGCTGAGTTATTCTAGGACCTTTGAAAACCAGCTTGGTCAAGGTAATTGGTTTTCCAAACAACTTGCGTTGCGGTCTTAGCTACCGTTCTATTGGCGAGAAGAGAAGACTCCATGACCAAGGGATCTCGTATGAAAGAAAGTATTTGGAATTTAATTGGGGGCTGGCTTTCAGTTTTAGAGGGTTAGTCCGTGGACATCATGGAAGGAAGCAGTCGGGCATGGCCCTGGAGCAGTAGCTGAGAGCTTCACACCCTGAACTTTAGGCAGCAGCCAGAGAGACAGAGACAGGGAGAGAGAGACACACACACAGAGAGAGAGAGACAGAGACAGAGACAGAGACAGAGAGACACAGAGATAGACAGAGAGATTGATTGATTGATCGATTGATTGAGACTGGGCCTGGCCTGGACCTTTGAACCCCCAAAGCCCATTCACAGTGACACACCTCTAGCAAGGCCACGCCCCCTCATCCTTGCCAGCCAGTTCCATCCAAACATAGCCATGGGGACAATTCTCATCCTACTTTATTCAGTGGCTACCATTGGTGACCTGCCCAGTGGGTACTTTAGACGAGGAAACTAAGATCAGAGAGGGAAATGAGCATATCACACAGCTGGCCTGTGGCAGGAAGAAGGGATTCCCCACTCTCAGCCGTGTGTAGCTCCAGAAACTGTCCAGCCGGGCTAGGAACGGGAAGACAACGCCTTTGTGGCCAGGCTCATTAGGAGAGAGGGCTTCGGCCTGCGGAACTCCGAAGCACTGGTGGGGAGGAATCCGAATTGAGGGGTGGCGAAAGGGGAAGGAAAAGCTGCATCAGGCTGGAAGTGTGGGCTCAGCACTCGCCTAGTGTGCACAAGGGCGGGTTTGATCCCTAGCACCGTATAAACCAGGCGTGATAGCACAGGCCTGCAATCCCCACTCACTCTCAGGGGACAGAGAGAGTGACCAGAAGCTCAAGGGCGTCCTTAGTTATGCAGAAAGTTTGAAAAGGGGCAGCTCTGGGTGGCACCGGTGCTCAGGGTGCCGGAGCAGCGTCCCCGAGTGTTTCCTTCTCCTGTCCATGTGTCCATGTCTGTAAACACTGCGCCCTGAAAGCTGGGAAATGGCCAGAGAGTTCAGGCTCTGTGAATCGGACAAGCTTGGTTCCCATCACCTGATGCTGGCCGCCGTCTTAATGTGACAGGAGCGCTGGGTATGGGATAAATGAGCAGCTGTGACCAGGTTCTCGCGCATTTGTATAAACGAGGGTCATGGACCATGGCTGACATGCATTCACTATAGAAGTACCAGTTGCCCCGGGTGCCAGCATCCATCTGGAGGTGCTGGGTGCTGGGTGCTTTGTTCTGTTCCACCATCCCGCCTGACCTTCCCTTCATCTGTTGCCGTGTGAGGACTGGACTGTGCTCCAGCTGAGAAACCAGGTTCAGAGAAGCCACCGTGCGCCTCTTCTGTAACTTAGCAGGAGTGGGACCTGGGTGACGCCATCACTGGCTGCCTACGTGGTCATCTTTGAGCCTGGGGTAGGGCCACTCCTCACCTGGGGTCCTTTAGGTGCGAGGCTCTTATTTCTTTCTTTTTTTTTTTTTTTTTTTTTTTTTTTTGGTTTTTTGAGACAGGGTTTCTCTGTGGCTTTGGAGGCTGTCCTGGAACTCACTCTGTAGACCAGGCTGGCCTCGAACTCACAGAGATCCGCCTGCCTCTGCCTCCCGAGTGCTGGGATTAAAGGCGTGCGCCACCAACGCCCGGCTGAGGCTCTTATTTCTGAGCAGCACACAGCCTCCCACTGTCAAACTGGTTAGGTTTCAGGTGACACCAAGAGACACCTGCTTGCTTCTGAGAAAACAGCCACCTCTACTTTGCAAAGAGAGAATCGTGAACAGATAAGAATAAGAGAAACAAGGGCTTGGGACTGTAGATCAACGGGGAGAGAGCTCGCCTAATATCCACAGAGCCCTGCATTCCACCCCAAGCACTGCAGAAACTGAGTGTGGTAAACTCCAAGGTCATCCGTTATCTCCACCCCCACCCCGTAGTGAGTGAGAAGCTAGCCTGGGCTGCCACGAGGCCTTGTTTCAAAAGATAAACATACAGACAGACGGACAGCTGCCTGTGCCTGGAGCAAGAGACAGTACAGCCCCTGGGGCTATTGTCAACCCCACCAGTTGAGAACAAGACCACTACCACAGTTTAAAGACAAATTTGAAGCAAGCTGTAATTAAATACTGGCACAGTTAATGGACTCTGGCCAATTCCTTGTCTGGGTTCCCAGACAATGGCCACCAGTCTTGTTTTGCGGAGGCTTAAGAAGGCAAAACCACGGGCCAAATATTTCCCTTCAGGCCCGAAACGAGTACCTCCCACCTACATCCAATCAGGGGCAAGCCTGTGCACCCTGATGTATTTCCTGCCTGTGAGCCTCCCGCCCACAGGTGATCAAACACGTTCCAGTGCGGATGGGTCAAACAAGCTTGTTTAGGGGAGTGAAAACACGTAGCCTGTTGTCTTCCATAAACAACAGCCTCCAGCACTTCAGGAACTGTGTGTCCTTGGGCAAGGGGCTTGCTGTCAGAGGCATTTTTGTTTCATGGATCTCTTGGGCACAGTAATTAAAACTTGAAACATAACTTAGGCTTTTACACTCTGGACTGTTTTCCCTTGTGTTTGACTTGTTCCAGGCTGCTTGGCCAGACCAGCAGTGTCTGTCAATAGTTCCAGGCCCAGCCTCCGAGAAGCTCAGGTCTTCTGGAGAAAGTCTCAGACAGAGGAAACAGTGGTTTTCGGCGACGGTGGTGGCAGCGGCGGCAGGCTCTCAGAGGCGCAGAAGAGTACCCAGAAGGGGAACACAAGCAAGTCTTTGTCTCCAAGGAAGCCGGTGGCCATCAGGGTGTCTTTGATTCTCCAGCAGCCTCTGAGACTACTGGACAAGGCAGCGAGTAGGCTCTGTGCCTCAGTTTCCTCATCGTTAAGATGTATGTAACTTATCTACCTGGATATCCTGAGCATTCATTGGCAGGGATGTGGCTGTCAGCTCCCATGTTTCTATATGTTCTTGTGTGGGGGCACATGGGTACACATACTTGTGTGTAGGCACACTGTGTGCACGCGGGTGCACATAATTGTATGTAGGCACACTGTGTGCACGCGGGTGCACATACTTGTGTGTATGCACACTGTGTGCACATGGGCACACATACATGTGCGTCTGTACATGCAGGCAGCCAAGTTCCTCCTTGACGGTTTCCTGGTGGCTGCCATGTAGCTCTGAGTTTTCCTACCTGCACCCTTCATACTTGTGTTTCTCAGGCATGTGGCCCCCTACTCCTTTAGCCTCCACTTCCTTGGTGGCCCTTTTCCAGGGGTCAACCTTGGGTGTCATTCCATAGGCACTCTCCCCCTTGTTTTTCGAGGCAGGGTCTCTCACTGAACCTGGGACTCACTGATCAACTAGACTGGCTGGCCAGTGGAACCCAGGGGCCCTCCTCCCGTTGCTTTCCCAGTCCTGGGCTTAGGGATATGGGCTGATACCTTATGCAGCTCTCACGCAGGAGCTGGGGATCCAGGCCAGGCCCTCATGCTTGCATGACCAGTGCTTTCCGGGGTTGAACTGTCCCCTCAGCCCCAGCTGCCTTTCGTGTATAAATTTTAGTCTCTGATTTTACTTGGCATGTCAAGGGCATGGTAACTCTAGCTTTCTAGCTGGAATCTCCTGTGAAACTCAATGCATGGCAGAAGATATGACCGACTGAGAAACCAGCCCAGACTCTGAGGACACCACAAGGAGGTCCTGGGTGCTGGTGACATCACCAAGGACTTGAGCGTCCAGCACTAGGTTAAGACAGGCAGTCTCGGCCACCAGTCTGCCTTTGCCCGTGGGTCTCTAACCGGCAGGTACTCCTTTTAATAAAAGATTTATGAATTGGTTGTGTCCATTAGTGGCTGTTTGTATGTACATAAGTATACCATGTGTGTGCCTGGTGCCCACGGAAGCCAGAAGACGGCATCAGATCTGGAACTAGAGTTACGGGGAAGTTATAAGCTGCAGTGTAGCTGCTGAGAGTTGAACCCAGCTCCCTGGAGGAGGAACTAGTGCTCTCAGTCACCAAGCCATCTCTCCAGCCCCCAGCGGTTACTTGTGGCCGGTTCCCCGCTGTCCTGGGCTGTGGAATAAAGGATGCCTGATCCCTGCCTCGGGGTTTAGAATACCCAGTACAACAGCAAAGAGAGTAGACACCTCTGCCTTGTTCCTTCTGCCAGGGAGAACCGCTGTCTCCCATCATTAAACGGGAGTTCAGCTGTGAGAGTCTCACAGGCACCTCTGACTGGCCTGAGCGAGTTCTACTCTAGAGAGGTCTTTCTGTGAGAGGGTGTGGGGGTCAAGGGGTGCTTCCTGTGTCTGCCGAGAGGGTCATGTGACTGGTTCCACTCCAGGCTGCTTAGTGTCCCTGTCATGAGAACATGCCAATTTTACCAGGTGTTGCCTTTCTAAACATGTTTATTTGTGATTTCTATGTGTTCGTGTGTGTGTGCCTGCGTTAGTTTATGTGTGCCATGGGTGCACGGGAACCTGTGGAGGCCAGAAGGTGTCAGGTCCCTTGGAACTGCGTTTTAGGGCTTGGGAGCCACCATGTGGGTGCTGGGAGCCAAGCCCAGGCCCTCTGCAAAAGCCACAAGCACTCTTCACCGCTGAGTCCACTCTCTCTCTCTAGCCTCCAGCTGTTTCTTATTTGTTGAGGGAATCACTCACGAGGCTTTTTTTTTAACTTTTGAGTCTGTTACTGTCTCGTATGAAGCTTTCCTCATGTGGGCCCTGTGATAGCTGCTCAGCGTACAAACTCCTTACAGGACAATGATGTTTAAATGTCTAGAACTCCCCCCCAGACAGGAGTCGTCTATGTTGGATCCTCCTTCACGCTTTACCAGGAAGCGGCTGGTTCTGCCTTCCTGCTTTACTTCCTGCTAGCATGGATTCTTGGGGTCAGGTGGAAGTGAGAGCCTCCTTGGGTTTCTTCTGAGCATGCACTCAAGCCAAGCAGTCATCAGGAACCTGCTGGAATCCGAAATGCCCCCATGGACAGCTACTTCATGAGACTTCTCTTCCGAGTTTTCTCTTAGGATTTGGCTAGCTCATAGTTTGCCCCAACTGTGGTTAGCTGGAATCCAGTGAATGAATCCATCATTTCTTACTGTTTAAAAAAAAAAACAACTCAGACTTGACACACTGGGAAAGGTCAAATAAAGGCATCCTTGCACATAGTCACCAGGGACAGAGAAATGACAGTTCCCTGGTGCTGAGGCTCTGTTCCCTCCGGGTGAGGCTGGGCCTCTGACACGAGGCTGTGGGATTTCAAAGGGACCCAAACTGATGAGAAAGTTATGGAAATACAACGAATGAAGATGCTACCTGGCTTTCCCACAAACTCTCACTCTCTGGAATTCTGTAAACCAGTGCTGGATTTCCAGAATCCTGAAAAAGTTGATTTGGGCATTTTTGTTAGTTTCTGTCACGACTTTTGTGGAATAGAGAATTATCCATTTTTGCTGATATCCCTGTGACTTCTCAGATTTGAGAGTTTGCCGGTGGTGTTCCTCTTTCTTCCTCACTGGCATTTGGTCCCCAGGGAGTCTGGTTGTAGAAAGTGACTCGCCAGGCCTTTATGGAAAGTCACAAGGCCTTTGATGTATTATTCAGGGTACCAATCGATGCCAGAGCCTATCCATTCCCCACCGGTCCCCCTGCCTGGGGCCTCTGGTGTTTGAGAAGCAAATGCCACCATCTGAAGCATCTCCATAGCTGCAGCCTAAATCCTGGGCCCGGCTGTCAGAGAGAAACAAGAGAATCCATCGCTTGTGTGGTAGGCTGCTCCTGTCTCTGAACCCATGGCCGCCAGGAGAAGAAAGCCGCTTTCGCAGCCTAAGATGAAAGGAAGAGCGATCTCAGTTTCCCAGTGCTCTGTCTCTCCGTCCAGAAGCAGCTGTGATCAAACGGGAAGTGCTTGGGAGTCAGGAACGGCTGCCAGGGACTTGCCATATCCCAGATGCCCGGAGTCGTTGTGATACTAAGGACATGGGAGCCTGGGCTCTGTCCTGTGTTTGCTGTCTCTGAACTGTGTGACTGTAGCTGGGCCACCTAGTACAGCCACTAAGATGAAACCAGGAGTCCTGTGCAACCTGCCCTACTCAACAGGTTCAAGTACAGAGACTGCCTGGTGGGAACTTGGGCACCCTGTGCTGGGTCAGGCTGTGTGGTGGGGAGTCAGGGCCTCAGAGCATGGCTGGGGCCTTTCAGCCTCCAAGACCGAGTGTCCTGAGGGGTGGCCAGCCTTCCCTCTGGGGACACAGCAGGCACCGGCTTTCATGTAACGGGTGTTCCATACCACCTGCTGGTACTTCTGACTAGCTGCATTAATGTTATTATTAATAATAGAGGCTGGCATTTATTAAGAACTCAGTATATGCCAGGCACTTCTCTGAGTGTTTCAAGCGTGTTTAACCCTCGCCAGTGCATGCAGGAGCTGCTGGGGTGGTCTGCATGGCATGCACACGGAAACAGAGGCAGCAGGGAGTGCATGCCACAGAGACACTCAGCTGGATAACATCTGCGGGCGCGTGTGCAATGAGGGAAGTGTGTTTGCTTCACAGGGAGTGCACGCCACAGAGACACACAGCTGGATAACATCTGCGAGCGCGTGTGCAACGAGGGAAGTGTGTTTGCTTCACCCACCCGGGAGCAGAGTGTGAGGCCAGTGCTGTCAACTCTGTAGGATCCAGGATTACAAAGAGACAGACTTCGGATGTGTCTAGGAGGGATTCTCTAAACTGGGTTCTTTGAAGACCCACCCTAAATGCGGGCAGCGCCTTTCCATGCGCTGGGGTCTGAGACTTCATATACAAAGGGGGAGTTGAGCTGCTCGCCAGCGTGTACCCCTTTGCTTCTGACTGCAGCTGCCTGTGCCCTCACCTCACGGCCCTGCTGCTGAGGCTCCCATGACGGACTGCACCTCAAACTGAGCTGGCAGAAATCCTCCCTGCCCTCAGTGGGTATTTTGTTCAGCATTGCAGTCAGTAACTACACACAGAGATCAGCAGGAGCCATTTAAAGTGCTAACCAAGCATGGTGGCACACGCCTTTAATCCCAGCACTCAGGAGGCAGAGGCAGGAGGATCTCTGTGAGTTCAAGGCCAGCCTGGTCTACAGAGCAAATCCCAGGACAGGCAGCGCTACACAGAGAAACCCTTTCTGGAGGTGGGGGAGGAATAGATGGACAGATGATGGATGGATGGACGGATGGGCAGACAGATGGATGATGGATAAAATCCCTACTCCCTCCCTGACTGTGGGTGGTGGTAGGAGGCCAGGGTGTAGATCAGAAAAACGTTAACCACAGGACACTCTGTGTCATTTCTGGTAAAGTAACTTCACAGTGCTCAGTACTTAGTTACTGCTTGCTGTTTCCCTAGCAGGCAGCTTTGCTCCCTGAAGGCAGAGTGCTCCCTGAAGGCAGAGAACCATCTCCCCAGCTGGGGACCAGCTCCTGGGGCTGGAATGGGGCTTTCTGGTGCCTCCAGGCCTTGTTTCCGGTTGTGTCACGGCATAGCCTTGGCACACTACTCTGGTCATTCCCCCTCCTGTACCACGGTAGTCTGGTGGTCCACTCTGACAGTGTCAGCCAGACAACCAACCGGCTAATGTAAGATCCCACTGGAGGCCTGTGTGGTGTACTCCCTGTGTCCCACGATGCATCATGGCTGACTCAGTTCCCCCTGGCCTTCACTCTGGGCATTTCCCACATCGGGACAGGTCTAGCCTGACCCTTGAGATCTAGAACCCAGAGTTGCAAAGGCAGCTAGTGCCTCCCAATCCTTGACCTGTAACCTCCCACCCCTGACCTGTAACCTCCCACCCCTGGCCTGTAACCTCCCACCCTTGACCTGTAACCTCCCACCCCTGACCTGTAACCTCCCACCCCTGGCTTCCCTCTCTGCCTCTGTCTTCCGCTCTCCTGGGCTTTCCTTCCCCATCTGCTGATGAATGGTTCTAATAAGACACCAGAAGGGATGATGCCAAGATTATTATTGCAACTGCATCTCCCTCCATCAGCCACCATGGGCTTTTTGCTGCCAGGGTTTCCGAAGTTCAGAAAACAGTTGTCCCTGGTGCTCCTGACCTTTGACACATATTCCCAGACAGCTGAGCACCCATGCTGGGGGCTGACCCTGACACTTGCCACACGACAGAGATGCAGAAGTCCCCGGTGCCATCCCCTCAGCTTCAGCCAGACCCAGTTACCACCCTTTCTGGCCCAATTAGTCCAGATCCTGCATCTAGAGTCCTCTGGCTCTGCCCAGGTCCCAGCAACATTTCCGCAGCGTGGATCGTCGGAACAGATCTCCCCGGGTCTGAAACCCACCAACAACGCTATCGTGAAGACAGGACTCGCTGCTTTTGCCTCCCAGGGCCCAAGGCTCTACAGACACCGTGGATGGGCCCTGTAGAGGTGCCTCTCTCCCTTTCCCTCACGACTGCATGGATCACAGCTGTACTCACCAGGCCTGGGATTCTCCAGCGCCGTCTCAGGAGTCATGGGAGGCTGGAAGAGGAACTCTCATTCAGCGACAGTTTCAGCAGCAAATTTCAATTTTGTTTCATTAAAAGAAACGATCACATCTATTACTTAGTGCTGGGGTGGGGCACTTGAGTGTCAGGGCGCGCGTATGAAGGTCATATTGTGGGTCATGCTTCTCTCCTTCCACCACGTAGGTCACCGAGCCGTCCTGCTGGCCCTTCAATTGAAGGCTTTGGTCTCCCTCCCTCACTGGGCCAAGAGGGCAGGCGTGGGCTGGGTTCAGCGGAAGGTGCTGGATGGGTGACGTTGACTACATTGCTTAGGAGCCATCATTTGCTAGTGGACGTCAAAGCCGGGTCCTGGGGCTACCTCAAATGCGCTCGCAGCTTGGACACCTCTGGATGAGGGAGGGCACACACCTAGGACCCCTGCCCCCAGCACCGGTGGTATGTCTTTAAAGTACCAGCGGTCATTCCCCCCAGGGTACCAGATGGCTCTCAGTTACAGACACCCAAGCAGAAAGAAGAGAACTGTGCTTTCCAGATTCTAACTCTAGCCCCAACCATGTCCGGCTGGCTTTACCTGACTCCCTGGTATTAAAGCACTGTGTCGCTCTTTTGTCTTTCAAATTTATCAGCTCCAGGTCCCAGGCCCCGAAATCATCCGTATGAGATAGTTACTGACAACCATGCTAATTAAGCCAATTAAGATTTTAAAAAACAGCCAGACCAAAAGTAAGCAAACGCCTCCAAAACATCTCTTGGTGCTGAAGCTCAGGAGTGCAGCATTTTTGCAGACCAAAAAAAAAAAAAAAAAAAAACCATAAAAACCACAATTGCATCAGTGTTTAAAGGAGGGTACATCAGTGTTAGGGGGGTTGGGGTAACCTCGTAACATCTGCCTTTTTGCAGAGCTTAGCAGTATTTTCCAGACACAACATGGCAATTATTTTTGATTTACACTTCCTCTAGTTATTTTAGTTTTATGTTTTAGCTTGCACAAACATTAATTATTTTGGTTAATACATCTGGACCGTGGTTAGGGTCACGGACAGTCCCCAAAGCACTGCCAAGGCGGATGTGGCTATTGAGAGGTGGCAGACAGAGAAAGCAGACACAAAATGGAGTCAAGAGAAGACGATGTTACCTCAGTCACCCTGACCCAGTCCACCCGGATAGCACAGGCTATCCCACCTCCAGCACACTCTCTGCCAGCAAACGACCTCTCACCCTCTCCGGTGAGACAGTGGAAGAAGACACAGATATGTCCGTGTGTCTGTCTTTCCCGCACAGGGGCCCCTTCTTCAGTCTCAGTCTCAGAGACGCTTATCCATTTGATATTTATTTTACTTTGTATTATGTTTTATTTATTGGCTGCCCAGGTTAGTTGATCCTGTGGGTTTTCTTGTGGTGTCCTTGACCCCTCTGGCTCCTACAATCCTTCCTCCCCCTCTTCAGCAGGATTTCCCGGGTTCAGCCTGGTGTTTGGCTGCGGGTCTCTGCATTTGTTTCCATCAGGCCCTGGAGGAAGCCCCTCCGATGACAGCTGGACTAGGCACCAATCTGTGAGCATAGCGGAATATCATTAGGCAGCATAACATTTGACTTTTCTTTTTCTTCAGTCATGTTTGGTTCGATCCTAGATCTCTGGGCTGTCCAACCTCCGGGTCCTGAGCCCCAGGCAGTATCAAGGGTGGATTCACTCTGCTGGTCTCAGGCTGGACCAGTCATTGGTTAGCCACGCCCATGATCTCTGCCGCCCTTACCCCAGCATGTCTTGTAGACAGGACAGACTGTAGGTTGAAGGTCATGTGGCTGAGTTGGTGCCCCAGTCCCTACACTGCAAGTCTTATGTGGTTACAGGAGGTGACCAGCTGAGGTTACACATCCTCTATTGCTAGGCATCTTGAGTAGAGCCACCTTTGTAGACTCCGGAGAGCTTCCCTTACACTGGGTTTCTACCAGACCGCCAAAATGTCCTCCTTTTCCCATCAGCTTTCAGCACTCCCCCCCACCTGACCCCTCCTGTCCCCATCCCTGCACGTCCACAGCCTACCCAGAAAGCCTCTTTGCTTCCCTTCCATGGAGATCTGAATGTCTCCCTCGAGTCCTCCTTGACACCTGTTCTCTCTGTGTCTACGGATTGCAGCATAGTCATTCTTTACTTCTAACATCCACTTAAGAGTGAGTACATTTGATGCTTGTCTTTCTGGGTCTGGGTTACCTCACTCAGGATGATTTTTTTTTCTAGTTCCATCCATGATGTCAATGTATTTTAGAAGCTGAATAATGAGCTCCATTGTGTAAATGTACCACATCTTCTTTATTCATTCTTCAGTTGAGTGACATCTAGGTCGTTTTCAGGTTTTGGCTATTATGAATTAAGCTGCTATGAGCATAGGTGAGCAAGTGTCCTTGAGGTATGACTGAACATCCTTCGGGTAAATGCCCAAGAGTGGTACAGCTTGGTCTTGAGGTAGATTAGCTCCCAATTTTCTAAGAAACCACCAAATAGATTTCCAAGACGGCTGTACAAGTTTGCACTCCCACCATCAGTGGAGGAGTGCTCCCCTTGCTCCACATCCTCTCCAACACAAGCTGCGTTTTCTGATCTTAGTCATTCTGACAGGTGTAAGGTGGAATCTCAGAGTCATTTTGATTTGCATTTCCCTGATGACTGAGGATGTTGAGCACTTCTTTAAGTGATTCTCAGCCATTTGAGATTCTTCTGTTGAGAATTCCATTTAGATCTGTACCCCATTTTTAGTGGGATTATTTGGTATTTTGATGTCTAGTTTATTGAGCTCTTTATACATTTTGGGGATCAGCGGTCTGTCAGACATGCGGTTGGTTAAGATCTTTCCCCATTCTGTAGGCTACCGTTTTGTCCCATTGACGGTGTCCTTTGCCTTACAGAAGCTTTTCAGTTTCATGAGGTTCTATTTATTAAGTGTTGATCCTAGTGTCTGCAGTATTGGGGTCCTGTTCAGGAAGTTGTCTCCTGTGGCAATGTGTTCAAGGCTATTTCCTACTTTCTCTTCTACTAGGTTCAGTGTAACTGGATTTATGTTGAGGTCTTTTATCCTCTCTTGAATTTGAGTTTTGTGCAGGGTGATAGATATGGACCTATTGAATCCTTCTACACACCAATATCCAGTTGCACCAGCACCGTCTGTTGAAGATGCTTTCTTTTTTCCATTGTATAATTTGGGCTTCTTAGTTGATCATCAAGTGTCAATGGGTGTGTAGATTTATATCTAGGTTCTTCAGTTTGATTCCATTGACCCATCTGTCTGCTTTTATGCTGATACCATGAAGTTTTTGTTACTATGGCTCTGCAGTAGGCTTGAAATCAGGGATGGTGATACTTCTGGAAGTTCCTTTATTGTATAGAATTGTTCTAGCTATTCTGTTTTTTTTAAATATGAAGTTGAGTATTGTTCTTTCAAGCTGTGTAAAGAGTTGTGTTGGAATTTTGATGGGAATTGCATTGAATCTGTAGATTGCTTTTGGTATGATGACCATTTTTACTATGTTAATCTTACTGATCCATGAGCATGGAAGATCTTTCCATCATTTGATACCTTTTTCAGTTTCTTTTTTCAAAGACTTGAAGTTCTTGTCATACAGGTCTTTCATTTGTTTGGTTAGCGTAATCCTAAGATATTTTATATTTTTGTGGCTATTGTGAAGGGTGTTGCTTCCGTGATTTATTTCTCAGCCCTTTTATCATTTGTATATAGAAGAGCTACTGATTTTTTTTAGTTAACCTTGTATCCAGCCAGTTCACTAAAGGAGTTACCTGGTAGAGTTTTTAGGGTTGTTTATGTATACTACTGTATTATCTGCAAATTACAATACTTAGACATCTTCCTTTCTAATTTGTGTCCCCTTGATCTCCTATAGTTGTGTTATTGCTTTATCTAGAACTTCAAGTTCTATATTCAATAGATACAGAATGAGTGGGCAGACGTCTTGTTCCTGATTTTAGTGGAATTACTTTGAGTTTCTCTCCATTTAATTTGATGCTTGCTATCAGCTTGCTGTATATTGCTTTTTATTATGCTTAGTTATGTCCCTTGCATCCCTGATCTCTCCAATACTTTTGTCATGAAAGGGTGCTGGATTTTGCTAAAGGCTTTTCCAGAATCTAATGAGATTATCATGTTTTTTTTTCCTTTCTGTTTGTTTATATGGTGGATTACACTGACAGATTTGTGTATGTTGAGTCATCCCTGCATCTCTGGGATGAAGCCCACTTCATCATGGTGGATGATCTTTTTGATGTATTCTTGAACTTGGTTTGGAGTATTTTATTAAGTATTTTTGCATTTATGTCCATGAGAGAACTTGGTCTGCAATTCTCTTTTTTGGTTGAGATATTGTACTGTTTGCATATCAGAATCTGCTCTTGATTTAACTTTGGTATTTGATATTGAGAAAATTGATTATTTCTTTTAGATTTTCCAGTTTTGTGGAGTACAGGTTTTTGAAGTATGACCTAAGCCTGTTGTTATGCCCCTCTTTTTGTTTCTGATTTTGTTAATTTGGATATTTTCTCTGGTTTTTAGTTGATTTGGCTGAGGGTTTGTCTAACCAACTCTTTGTTTTATTAATCGTATTCTCTTTTATTGATTTCAATGCTGAGTTTATTTCATGCAATCTACCCCTCCTGGATGTGTCTACTTCTTTTTGTTCTAGAACTTTCAGGTGTGCTATTAAGTCACTGGTACGAGAATTCTCTAATCTCTTCATGAAGGCACTTAGTGCTATAAATTTTCCTCTTAGCACAACTTTCATTGTGTCTCATAAGTCTGGGTATGTTGTACAGTCATTTTTATTGGATTCAAGGAACTCTTAATTTCTTTATTTGTTCTTTGACCCAGTGGTAATTCAGTAAAGAGTTGTTCAGTTTCCATGAGTTTGTAGACTTTCTGTTGTTTCTTTTGTGGTTGAAATCTAGCTTTAATCCATGGTGGTCTGATAGGATACAAGGAGTTATGTCAATTTTCTTGTTTCTGTTGGCATTTGCTTTGTAACTGAATATGTGGTCGGTTTTGTAGAAGGTTCCATGTGGTGCTGATAAGAAGGTATATTCCTTTGTCTTTGGGTGAAATGTTCTGTGGATGTCTGTTTGGTCCATTTGTGTCATAATGTCTGTTAGTTCCACTACTTCTCTGTTTAGTTTTTGTCTGGATGACCTGCCCCTTGATGAGAGTGGGGTGTTGAAGTTTCCCACTTTTCATGTGTAGGGTTCTATGTGTGATGTAAGCTTTAGTAATGTTTCTTTTACAATGTGAGTGCCCTTGTGTTTGGGGCATAGATGTTCATAACTGAGGCATCGTCTCGGAGGATTTTTCCTTTAATGAGTATGAAATGTACTTCCCCACTTCTTTTGGTTAATTTTGGTTTGAAGTCTACTCCGTTAGATAGTGGGATAGATAAAATCACTTGCTTGTTAGGTCCATTTGATTGGAAAACATTTTTCCGACTCTTTACTCTGAGGTAATGTCTATTTTTCATGTTGAGATGTTTCTTGTATGCAGCAGAAGAATGGATCCTGTTTTTGTATCTATTCTGTTAGCCTGTCTCTTTTTATTGGAGAATTGAGTTCATTGATACTGAGAAATATTAATGACCACTGATTGTTTGTTCCTGTTATTATGTTTCTGGTGTTGGTAATGGTTTTGTGGTGTGTCTGTGTGTGTGTGTGTGTGTGTGTGTGTGTGTGTGTGTGTGTGTCCCTTCTTTTGAGTTTTTGGTGGGAGATTATCCATTGTGTTTACGTGGTTGTAGTTAACTTCCTTGGGTTGGAGTTTTCCCTCTAGCAACTTCTGTAGGATTAGATTTATGGATAGATACTGTTTAAATTTGACCTTGTCATGAGATATCTTGTTTTCTCCATCTATGGTGATTGAAAGTTTTGCTGGGTATAGTAGTCTGGGCTGGCATCGGGATCTCTTCAGAGCTTGCAGGACATCTGTTTTGCCTCTTCTGGCTTTTCAGTCTTCAATGAGAAGTTGAATATAATTCTGATATGTCTGCCTTTATATGTTACTTGGTCATTTTCCTTTGCAACTTTTAATATTCTTTATTTTGTATGTTTATAGTTCTGACTATTATGTGGCAAGGGAACTTTCTTTTCTAGTCCAATCTACTTTGTGTTCTGAAAGCTTCTTGTTCTTTTATAGGTACATCCTTTAGGTTAGGGACATTTTCTTCTATGATTTTGTTAAATTTATTTTCTGAGCTTTTGAACTGGGCTTCTTCCATTATTCCTATAATTCTTAGGTTTTGTCTTTTCATGGTGTCTTAGATTTCCTGGATGTTTTGTGTTAGGAGTTTTTTAGATTTGAATTGTCCTTTGACTGATAAATCTACATTTTCTATTGTATCAATGCCTGAGATTCTCTTTTCCAACCTCTTGAATTCTGTAGGTGATGACTGCATCTGTAGTTCCTGTTTGCTTACCCAGATTTTCTATTTTCTGAATTCTCTCACATTGTTTTCTTTATTGTTTCTATTTTGATTTTCATGTCTTAGATAGTTTCCTTTGCCTGTTTGTTTTTTTTCTTTCTTGGACTTCTTGGCATTCTTTAAGGCATTTGTTGATTTCCTCCATTTTTTGGTAGTCTTTCTCAATTTCTTTAAGGGAGTTTTTCATTTCCTCTTTAAGAACCTCTATCATCATCATAAAGTTGGTTTTAAGATCATTTTCTTATGCTTCAATGGTGTTGGAATATTCAGGGCTTGCTATAGTGGGAAGATGGGCTCTGGTGGTGACATTGCCCTGCCATTGTTGTTTGTGTTCTTATCTTTAAGCATCTGGATTTGGAATGATTATAGATCTAGGCACCTATTTCTATGTTTGTCTTTGTTGGATGGATGCTTGATTCCTTGGTTTCTATTTATTCTTTGGGATTCTGGCTGGAGTGGTCTGTGGTTAAGCAGAGGGTCTCTGACCATTTGGGCCTGGACTTCTTATGGCCTGGGTGTTCTTTGGTCCAGAAAGGGGCTGCTGCCTATGTTTGGGGCTGAAGTTCTGTATGTATGTACATGGCCTCTGGCATGGCTGGTGTCCTCTGGGGTTCAGATGCTGACACGACTTCTGGTGGGATAGGAGGCTTCTCCCTGGTTTTCAGGGATCTGACCTGGTTTCTGGGTATCAGGATGCTTGGATGTCCTCTGGATCAGGATTCTGGTCCTCTGATGGGATAGAAGGAGTGGTCCAGATGTGTGGCCCGGGATATTGATATGAGGAGAGGAGGGGCAGTTAGAGTTATGCTGAGGTTCAGAATGCTGGCCTGGCCTCCTCCTGTTATGTTTTTCCAGACAGTCTCATGTAGCCCAGGCTGGTTCCCAACTTGTTATGTAGCTGAGCACCATCACATCACTTTTGTGAGTTTCTGGGGGGTATTCTGTGCAGTTAGTTGGCAGGCAGAGCCTTGGACTGGAGAGCATCTATGGGAGCTTCTCTCTGGACTTCCCTCCACCACTCCTGCTAGAGACCCAGCTTCACTGCTGCTTTGGAAGTGACTTCCATTCCACACACGTTTTCCCCGGCATTTCACACAGTCAAATGATGGTGTTCCCAGTACTGTCCCCCAGTGAAGCTCTGAGTAAACACTGAGACGACATCAGTCGGGGAGGCAGTGGGACAGGGGACCCCGAAAACACCCACGTTGAAACAGACAAGGGGATAGGCTCACGGTTATTTAGAAGTACAAAAAAAAAAAAAAGAGAGAGAGAAGTTGTACAAGTTAATTCTAAACCCCGTCCATGTGGTCTAGAAAATTGCTTCAAAGCTCATTACCATCATGCAGGTTCTAAAGACTCAAGGAATCCCAGGAAGCAGACAACCCAGAAGCCTCAGGAAGTCCCTGAAACTGACCAGGCAGGCGCCTTAGGCTCCTCCTTCCCCACATTCATCTAACCAGTGATAATGGTTGAGAACACAGAGACCAGCTGAACCGCGTGGAAGCGACTCTGACCTGTTGTACCGCCTGCACACACTGTTCAGCGTACTTCAGGATTCTGGCTTTCATGAGCTGTCACCCATGCTGGGGTGACAATGCAGCTGTCTTCAAAGCATTTTCTGCTCCTGTAAGTAACCCCAGTGAACTCTTTGGCTCTCCGAGTTCGACTTGGGTGGTATCCTCACTTTTGGTCTGTCATTGGTTCTCTATCTGGAGTAGACATTTGTTCACGGCTCCCTGGGATAACATCACATGATAATTAAATGCTAGCCAGATGCCATAGGAGCTTAAAGGACACCTACATGTGGACCTGAAAGCCATCTATCGTATCGAGCAGATGGGTCAGGTGACACCAGCCACTTTCCCTGTGACTTTGCAGAGAGAATGGCTGCTGGGCTGTGGGGTGTTGAGCAGCTAGGATGTCCACACAAGACTTGTCTCTAGGGCATGCTCAGTTTGTTCACATGGGCATTCCTTATAACACCATGCTGATGTAAAAGTAAACAGACATCCCACCAAGAGGGGAACTAGCATGGCTGAAAATGCTACTGCAGAGTCCCCCTGGCAAACCTTACCCAGTGAGGATGTTTTGGAGGCCTTACAGGCATGACCCACGACCTCTGGGAAGGCCTTTAGCTGTGGCGGGCTGGAAGGTCTTGAGAGTGTCCGGCAGTGGCTAGCACTGATAGGCAGGCATGTGTGAGCTCAGTAACGGTGCCAGAAGTTCAGTGGTCACCGAAGCCAGGGCCACACACAGAGGCCCGTCTCAAAGCCCTCTTGTTCATTTGCATTAGCATGGAGGCTTAGGATGCCCTGCCGGGTCTTGAAAGCACAGCTGTGTGATCCTGGGGGCTACCTCCAAAGTTCCCCCTTTTGTATCATTGAGCAGTAGGAGTTTTAGGGCTCACAGCTTAGGGTTGGCTCACATCAGTACCATCTTGGGATTCGTTCATTAGTTTATCAAGGCCTGTCCTAGACTTGGCTCATATCTGAGCTGCCTTGTGGTCTGTTAACACATCAGAGCCTGGGGGGTGTGTGGTGGGGGGTCATTGTGGGTGTGTGGGTGGGAGTGGGTAGTTTCTGTCTGAGCTGCCTGGTGGCAGGCTCCTATTTAACAGGCTGTTACATCATTCTGAATCACACAGGTGATTTTTTAAGTTACACGAAACGGTTTCACTTATGTTCCTAGCATTCTTGTCTGTCGGGCACCGGCTACATACCGGGCTCGTCTCGTGTGGGGCAATCCTTACACTAGCCGGAGCTGCTGTTCCATTTCTCTTTCTCAGGTGAGAAAGCCAAGTCGAGAATGTGCTCACTGTCCAAGGGCAGCATGGGTTGCGTCCAGATTCTGCCGCTACTCACTGATCGGTGTGTGCCTGAGCCCAGATGAATCCACAGAAGGCCACACACTGTGAGTCAAGGAGCATGGGGCATGTGGGCATCGTGTGAGTCCTCAGGGTGAAACTTGGATCAAATCCAAGTTCAGAACCTTCATGCTGTGCGGCCCCAGGCCAAACTATGGCTTTTTAAGCCTGGGCTGCCCACTTATCTTCATGCTGGTCACCAGTGAGACCGATAATCTCTGGGCTCCTCGCTGACACGGAAGGACCTTTCATGCACTGAAATGGCTTTTTCTTCCTTCTGTTTCTATTTGTATTTATCTTTCATGACGTAACATATATAAAGTGTGCTTTAATCGTATTCTCCCTGTTACCGTCTCTCACCCACACCTGTTAGCAGCAAGCCCCTCCTACTTTCATGTATCATTGGTGCCCCAGTGAGCTTAATTAGGGTGCACACGTGTTGGGGTGAGCAACAGCAACTGAAAAATTGGGTCCCGCGAGCGCTGATGGAGCCCAACTCCTGGAACCTCAGCATGTTTGTTAGGTGCGGCACAGGGAGGAGGATCAGCTGGTCCCAGCAGGTCTCCATAGTGAGCAGTCTCCGTCTATAAGTGTTCTGGAGGAGGAAGATGCAGCGACCAGTTTCTGTGCACACTGATAATCATTCTGTACACACTGGTCAATCATTCTGTACACACCTGTCAACCATTCTGTGCACACCTGTCCATCATTCTGTGCACACCTGTCAACCATTCTGTGCACACCAGTCGGTCGCTCGGAAACATTCATGCGTGGACTGAAATCTTTACCACTTCTGAGCCTGGCCCCCGGGGAAAGGTTTTGCCAATTTTCCATGGGTCCAAGCCCTTGGGATTCTTGACATCAACAATGCACACTTTCCATCAGCTACCAACTGTCGAAAGCTTCTGAGGGACTGGTGGGGGCCCGTGAGCCTCTCCCCTCATCTGGGCTAGCTCGATGGTGTGCAGATGACCACAGTTGCTGTGAGTTTGTGGACATGGCCGCTGTGCCATGAAGAGGACCTCATCTCCCAGCAGTCCCTCCCTCTTCCCACCCCTCTTCCACCATGAGCCCGCGGTGACACAGGTGCCTATCACTGGATGAGCACCGGCTGGTCTCTTACTCTCCGCACTTCACGGCTGCCCTGACTGCTGCCCACTGCAAACAGGCTTTTCTGACCGAGTCTGCGGGCAGCACTGCTCTGTGGGTCCTAAGGAAAGTCTCCAGAGGGCAGAGCAAAGACGGTCAGATCGTAGCCCTGAACCCTGGCATCCCTCACACGGTGCATACAAGACAAATCACAAAACCAACCCACCTTGGCAGGCATAGCTCTAGGTAGAGGTTCTTGGGGCATAGGTCCCTTGGCCCCCCTCGTTTCCCAATAGTGAGAACCAGGCCCCGGAAGCAGCAGCTGGTGGGGTCTCTGGCTTTATGTAGGTCCTTATCCAACCTGGTCTGGGTCCCTGCAGCATTGCGGGTTGGAGGGGACCAGGGCAGCATTGGGGTAAGTGCTGGGAAACCTTGTATCAGAGAGCCTGGGGGCAGCAGGGATGTGGGGCAGTGACCCCTCCACCCCTCCTGTCGGTGTCTTGCATTCTTGGCTGGCGGGCATGAGATGGAGCCTGTGCTCGTCCCTTGGCAGACAATGGTAGGATATGGTTCTTTCTGCCTGCCTTGGGAGAGCAGGTCCTGATCTAGCTCCTCTGCCTGCTACCCGGAAGTTGGTCCTAACTACCCACATCTTCACCTCACGGGTTTCCCTCGGCCACAGAGCCACAAGTGGTCAGGAAAAGTCAGGACTCTGTGCCAAATACACCCTCACAAAAAGACCCTGGTGGAATGCTGGTAAGAGCGAGACCGCAGGAGGGGACCCCACATTTAGAGCACCCCCACGCACCCATCCCCTATTTTTAACTAGGTGCCGTGTGGGCCCCCTAAGGGGAGTGTGGTAGACAGAGAGATGCGACCCTGGACACCCTGGCAGAGTTTACAGTTTTGTGTGATTGCGTGTGCTCACGCACGCACGTGTGCACATAGCAGCAGGATATAAAGAACTCACCGTGTTGCTGGTGGCGGGAGTCAGAAGCAACAGGACCCAGATCAGACAGGGAAGAGAGACAGAAGACAGCAGTGACAGACAGAATGGAGGAATGGAGGGGAAAAATCACCCTGGAGCGTCAACAAGCGCGTGAGGAATAAGAGCACTGGGAAGTGACAGCGGGCCACTCGCAAAGGCCCTACTAGGTGTGAGGCTCAGGAAGTCGCTTGGCCCGTAGGGTGGCAGGTCGGTTGTGGGGCTGGCTAGGGCAGGGCTTGTGGTGGGGCTGGCTAGGGCAGGGCTTGTGGTGGGGCTGGCTAGGGCAGGGCTTGTGGTGGGGCTGGCCTCTTTTCACGGAGCCTTGGCTCCGGCACAGGTCCGTCATCTCGCATGACCCCAATTATTCCTTTGTGGGATAGTTGGGAAAGGCCAGCCACGCACACCCTGGCCTGGCATGTTGTGTGGGACATGAACAGCAGCCATTGTCCTACGGCTGCTCTTGGCTCTGTCCTGGGCTCCCTGTTCCTGTACCCTCTGAGATGTCCTGGTAGGGCTGGGGGACTGCCCCCTCCCCGCCCACGCCACCAGCAGGGCCTGCCAGCTATTCTCCCAGATAATCACTTCCGACCCAGGGCTGAGTGTTGGTGACAGCAGCTCTCTGATTCCCTGTGACAGTAACCCTTTTTTTTTTTGCAGAGGCCCCTACCCGCTAGCCCTCTCTGGGAGCTGAGCCCCACCCGTTCTCACAGAAGTATGTCTTTAATAGCCTCTGGGACACCAGCTGATGGACTGGCCATGAACTTCCCCTGGTCCAAGTCCAGAGCTCAAAAGACAAAGGGGACTTCAGAGTCCATGGCCGCATCCCTGGCCCTGTGTCCTCTTCCCAGGCCCTCCCTGGCCCTGGCCCCTTTGTTTAGGGTTCAAGAGCCTGGGCTGCCAAGATTCTGACTGAAGCGCTTGCTGGTCAACATCTTAATAGCTAGACAAGAAGGAAAAGCACAGGGTGCCGAGGACGGGGACAGCTAATGGGGCAGCAGGGGAGGGGGTGGCAAGGGGTGCAATTAACTCCTCATCCCACAGCCCTAGGACGGGGTGGGGCAGGAATGCAGGGGTGGAAAGAGACCATTTTGAAAGATCCAGCTACTTGGGCCACCTGGAACCTCCACAGAGGACTCTAGTTAGGAAGTGTGTCACCAGCCTCTAGACCAGTGGGTTTCAACCTGTGGGTGGCGAGCCCTTTGGGGGAGGTCAAAGGACCATTTTTACAGAAGTCACCTAAGACCATCAGATAACACAGATATTTACAATTCATGGCAGTAGCAAAATGTGCAGTTATGAAGTAGCAATGAAAATAATTTTATGGTTGGGGGACACCACAGCATGAGGAACTGTATTCAAGGGTGGCAGCATTGGGGAGGTTGGGAACCAGTGCTCTCCACACACCCTGGGAACTCACAGCTCTAGATTAGGAGTCTGGGACACGGGCGTTTACTGTTCCAGGAAGTAGTGCCAACCGTGACTTTGCTGTCCAAGGAGTCCTTGGGGTTGGTTGCATTTTCTCGCTCATCCTGTCCCTCATCATCCCTGCTTCTCTGACAGCCAGTCTTAATCCACCTTGGGCTCCCTGCTCTGGGGTGAAGGCCAGAGTGTTGCTGCTCATAGGGGCCCAAGGCTCAAGTTCTGGCTGCGAGGGTCCAGGTGAAGGATGCCAAGAGCTTTTGGATCAGAGGGTTCTGGCTTGAAGTCCACTCAGTTCATATAACCGGTAGTGTGAAGACAAACCCGGGTAACTGTGGATCAGCCGGGATTAACACTCATCCCCGATTTGCCATGGGCTCTTCATCTGTCATCTGGGGTGGTGGCAGCGGCAGCCATTGTTGTGATTAGACATGGCACATGGTACGGACAGCTTGCTTCAGAGTCCTGCAGTGAGGTCAGCCGGCTTCTCGTCCTCCCTGCCAGAGGAGCCTCAGCCTGCCCAAGTTCACTGGCTGCAGAGCTGGGACCTGCACAGTCTCTTCCCCTAAACCTGTGAGGCTCACAGCGGAATGTCTGCCTCTGCACACGGTGTGTTTGCCGAAAACGCATGGGGCAGGGTGATTCGACCCTAGGCCTCTTCTTTGGGATGCACCCCACTGTCAAAGCTCTGGAATGGAGTTTTTTTTCTTCCACCTCCATTTCAATGGCACGGCTTTGGACCTCAAGTCAGAGCAGAGTTCTGTGTTCCCTGCCTGTGGAAGCCACGGGAACTCACCAGCGCACTGGACTCCACCCAGTTTCAAAGGCTTCCCAGCTCAATGGGGCCAGCTGACCATGTTCCCATGGGACTGTCTTTCCCACGGCCACTCAGGCCCAAGCCAGCCCCATGCAGTCCCACTCTGGTAGGCAGTGGGAGATGAGGTCAGAACCAGGACCCAGAACTCAGGGAGATGTAGGCTTGGCTCCGAAAAAGCTTTGCTGTTGGACAAACGCCTTCCCGTCTCAGCTACATCTTCAGAGACACCGGGTTAATAGAGTCTGCCTCAGGGCCTTCCACGGGGGAGCTGGGCAAGGTGCTGCAGGCAGCCCCAGCTCCTGTGTCCGGCGGGAAGGGGGCAGCCACACTACCCTTGCTCAGTTGGTTCCTGTGCTCTGGTGACAGCAGAGACAGACAACACACCAGTCAGCCACACAATGCAACTGTCGGGAGGACCTCAATAAGGGACTTCCAACCGTCCTCCCCCACCCCCACCCCCATCCTCCCACCCCCGGTGAACTCAGCTGGAGAAGTCACTTTGGACAAAGTGTGTGTTGCTTGAAGTAAAGTCCACGGAGACAAAAATGCCTCCACTGCTGTCAACAGAAAAGCAGATAGAAACAACCCCCCCTCTGAATGAGGCCTTTTTGCTGATGCAGATTCTTGCTGTGTAGCCCAGGCTAGTCTCAAACTCCTGCTCCATCAGCTTCAGCCTGCCATGTAGCACAGGTGACAGGTGTGCGCCGGCATGCCTCGATACCCCACAAAACTAATATCTGTGCGTGTGTGGTGTTCATGCGTGTTCACTGGGGCGTGTGCATGCTGTGTGCGCGTGCTTGTGTAGGCCAGAGGTCAATGTTGGGCGACTTCCTCAGTCACTCCTCGCCTTATTTTTTGGACACAGCCTCTCGCCAGTCTGGCTAGGTTGGTTGGCTGGCCAGCCACAGGGACCCTCCTGTCTCCACCTGTTGAGTGCCGGGGTTACAGGTGTGTACTGATGGGGCTGCACTTTTGTGTTCATGCTGAGGGTCTGAACTCATGCTCTTATTTTCCCAAGCGAACCATTTCCTAACCCCCAACACACTACTGTTACTATGTCAAAAGTTTGTAGGTAATGAATTCTAAAGTTAAGAAACAGGCAAACACGCGGTACAAATGCCAGATCCTTTGGAGGTTTGCAAACGTAAGTCTTCTCACTGCCAAAGACAGCAGGGCCTTGGGATAGCAGCCCCCACAATGTGAAGCCTGAAGTGGTTACGGGGCCACTGAGCCCCACACAGTGAGCTCAAGAATAAAGTTACCCACAAATCACTCACATTTACTTTATTTCGGATAAAAGAATGTTCCTCAAAGAGTCTCTTGCCCGCTTATTTTAGGTTAAGAGGTAACACGCACAGCCAACACAAAGGCGAGGGTATTTCGAGAAGCCCCTTGCGTGTTTGACAGCCAGGGTTCTAACGAGAACCAGACCCAAGGGGTGACACACATCCTCAGACTGAATGCAATGAGCTCCTATCTCCTCCGGCCTTAAACTCCTCTCTCCACTCAGCCCTATCACGCCTGTCTCCACCTCCCAAGTGCTGGGATTAAAGGCCTGTGACTCCCAAGTACTGGGATTAAAGGTCTGAGCCACCACTGCCTGGCCTCTATGGCTAACTGTCAGCTAGCTCTGCACACCGGTCCCCAAGCAAACTTCATTTGTCAAAGCACAAAAAGTGCCACCACAAGAGCCCGGGTGGTTCCACTCTGAAGGGGCCTGAGGCACAGGCAGAGAGTGGTTTGCTCCGGCCTCCGTGTCCCTGGCACCTCCTCTCCTCCTCCTCTTTCCCCTCCTCCACATCCACAGAGCACCCACCATGTCAGGCTTCCTGTTAGCTATCAGAATATTCAGCGAGTGCCTCTCCCCAGGCAGCGGTGAAGAAGAGTCCAGGGGTGAGGAGGACAACCTCAGAGGTCAGACGTCAGCGAGCTGAGCTGGAATAACCCGGAGACCCGGTCAGGCAGACGCTGGGGAAACACTGCATAGCGTGTCAGAATTCAGGGCATGTGACCAGAATACGGGGAGGATTTGGAGTCATCTCCTGGAGGGCCCGTGAGAGCTACCGTTTTAGCCAATGTGCTAGGAAGCCTCGGGGCTTCCTTTCAGGGGACAAGCAGATGGCAAGCAGGTTCCTCCACACCATGCAAGGCTCCAAGCCACAGAATCGCCCTTCCCAGCGTCCTGTCTGTGGCGCCTCCTAGGGGAGAGCACCGTCATTATTTCTTTTCTGGAGTGGTCTTGGGAAGGGACCATCCGCGTGACCTCCGGTTGACCCGTCTTCTGCCGAGTCCTCTGGACGGCTATGTCATGAACACAACGGCCGTGTCTGCTGTTCAGCCTGGGCACAAGGACCCTGTGTTCTCAGCCAGGCTCGCCAACATCCGTGATGAGTAACTGGGACTGTGTCGGATGGGGAAGTGGTCACAATGCCCCTATTGTGTTTCCTCAGTGGAGCTGGAGCAGCAGGCCAGTCGCTGGCCCGGCTGGCAGCCACAACCGCAGGGACTCAGCCTTCATCTTCATCCCAAGGACCCGCCCAGCGTGGGGCCGGCCAGGGCCTGCTGCCTCATGGACGCCCCCTCACAGGCCCACCACAGCAGACGACTCTTGTTCCTGCACAACAAAAGGTCATTTCTGGCAGAGGGCGTCTGATTCACTTAGCGATTCAATTCTTCCTTGTTCGTTCCACAGGCGTCGGCACCCTCAGAATTTTACCCAGAAGATGAGAATGGCATCCAAGCCTTCAGAGATGCCGAAACCCTGGCGTACCCACACTGGACACTCCCTTCCCACAGCTCACCTTCACAGCAGCCTGAGGGGTGGGCCGGGCTCTCTGCTGGTGTGCAGAAGGACGCTGCATTTACAGTCGTCACATAGAAGAAGGTTCTAGACACGTCTTCCAGTGATTTGTGCAGGTCTAAGGAGGAGTCCCTGTGGATGGTAGTGTGACTTAGCTAATGTCCCGGAGACCGATGATGAGGCTGCCCCTGGGGGTGCTGCTTCCAGGGTCCTGTTAGCGGTGGGAATCAAGAGGGGTCGTGGGCTTTCCTGAGCCAGAGCGAAAGGCAGCAGCATGCTCCAAAAGCTAATGGAGGCCAGGGCAGAGTGAGGTTCCACACACAGAGATATGCACACACCATGCACACACATATACACATGCGCATACATTCATACACACACATATATATACATATGCACATCTATGCATATGCACATGCATACATACACTACACACATACACATTTACATGCACACACACATACATGAATATAGGTACACACACCACATGCATACACGTATGCCAGATTCATGCACACACATGCATACACACACAGACACATGCAAACACACTTGCACAAAGATGTATAAACACGTGCACACATATATGCACACACATGGATGCATGCATGCACACAGACACACCATACACTGGAGCGCTCCATCTGCGTCACTTTCAAAGGCGGGCAGAACCACTGTAGTGTCAGAGCTCATCGTTAGGTGGGGCTCATCGCTAGGTGGGGCTCATCGCTAGGTGGGGCTCATCGCTAGGTGGGGTGCAGGGGTGTCACAGTGGGTGCAGGTGGGTCCCTGAGCCATGGCTCTGCACAAATCTGCACCTAAGCATGAGTTCTACAGCCATGTTCACACGCAGCCTTCCACTGAGCTAGTATTTATGATTTGACTCTATGTATGTCGGTCTTCAATAAGATGTCTACCAAAAATCCAAGTTTTATAAAGAAAATAAAGTACAAAAAAGTAAAAAACAAACTAAAAAAATTCCCCCTGGCAACTCTGGAGCCAAAGAGAGGAACTGCCAAAGAACTGAGACACTGCTTTTTCAAGATTTGTCCTTGGTATTAATCGTAAACATGTGCAGACAGTAGTTTGCAATATCTTAAATGCAGAGTGATTCAAACTGTTAAAAATAAATTAATATTATTCCAGTATTTGGCAAAAAGGAAAGTTGGGTTAATATATCCTGATGCAGTCACCGGCTGGACTATTGGTCAGCCGTGGACATTGTATGTACTATACGGAAAACGTCTCACAAAGGTTCAAAATGCGTTATTAAACGGCAATGACATTTTCCCTAAATGCTTCTTTCATTGCTTTTTTTTTTAACAAGAAAAAGTAACTGATAGAAACAAGCCATAATATTAATAGCTGTTCTTGATGCACAACGCTGTTGCCGGTCATAAACATGCATATATATGCATGAGTAAATATCATAAAAGCGAAGCAAATACATATGTAAATACATATTCATATGTAAATATTTTATTTTAAAATTGCATATATGTGTGTGTGCACGCGCATGCGTGACACGCATGCTTGTCTATGAGCATGTGCATGTCAGTGTGGGTGCCTGAGACATATTCATATGTAAATATTTTATTTTAAAATTGCATATATGTGTGTGTGCACGCGCATGCGTGACACGCATGCTTGTCTATGAGCATGTGCATGTCAGTGTGGGTGCCTGAGACATATTCATATGTAAATATTTTATTTTAAAATTGCATATATGTGTGTGTGCATGCGCATGCGTGACACGCATGCTTGTCTATGAGCATGTGCATGTCAGTGTGGGTGCCTGAGACATATTCATATGTAAATATTTTATTTTAAAATTGCATATATGTGTGTGTGTGTGTGCGTGTGCATGCACACACATGCTTGCCTATGAGCATGTGCATGTCAGTGTGGGTGCCTGAGACATATTCATATATAAATATTTTATTTTAAAATTGCATATATGTGTGTGCACGCGCATGCGTGACACGCATGCTTGTCTATGAGCATGTGCATGTCAGTGTGGGTGCCTGAGACATATTCATATATAAATATTTTATTTTAAAATTGCATATATGTGTGTGTGTGTGTGCGTGTGCATGCACACACATGCTTGCCTATGAGCATGTGCATGTCAGTGTGGGTGCCTGAGACATATTCATATATAAATATTTTATTTTAAAATTGCATATATGTGTGTGCACGCGCATGCGTGACACGCATGCTTGTCTATGAGCATGTGCATGTCAGTGTGGGTGCCTGAGACATATTCATATGTAAATATTTTATTTTAAAATTGCATATATGTGTGTGTGTGTGTGTGTGTGTGTGCGTGTGCATGCACACACATGCTTGCCTATGAGCATGTGCATGTCAGTGTGGGTGTCTGAAAGGCCAGAAGAGGGCATTGGAATCCCTGGAGTTGCAGCTGTAGGTGGCTGTGAGCTGCTCAGTGTGGCTTCTTGACATAACTCTGTCCTCTGCAAGAGCAGCAAGCACTCTCAACCACTGACCCGTGTTTCTTCTGTAAACTCTTGCTGGCGAATGTGAGCTTCCGCCGTAAGTCTCGTTGTGTTCATTGGGAACAAGACTGCCCTGTTACCCTCCTGGCACAAGTCTGTGTCTCCAACAAGCATACCTCAGCTGAGTGAGAGCCTGACTTCCAGGCCGCTGCAACTAGAGATGGGAGTGGTTGCAGCAGTGACCATGTCTGAGTGGGACAGGGGACGTTTTAATGGAGTGTATGAGGAGGGGGCTCCATGCATAAAATCTTTCGTGTAAAGCTCTTTTTTGTAGCAATATTCTATTATTTAACTGAGTATTACATACAGTATATTGTGATCATATTTCCCCATTTGTCCCCTAACTCTTTCCAGATCACCCCCACTTCCAGAGCCCTAGCTTTGTGCCCTCTTTTTAAATGGTCCCCTGAGTTCAATTGCTGCTGTCCATGGGCCTGGGGCTACCCACGGGAGCATGGTCCATCCATGGGAGCCACACCCTTAAAGATGGCGGACACCCCTCCCCCAGCGGCCGTCAACTGCCAACAGCCCCTCAGCTAGCGGTGGAGGCTTGTAGGACCCTCCCTCCTCCATGCCGGAATGCTGATTGGCCTCACCTTGTGAAGGTCTTCTCCAGGCACCCACAGCTGCTGTGAGTTCCTGAGCTTGTCTTGTCAAATCCCGAAGGCTGCTTCGGGACCATTGAGGATGGGGAGATAGAAAGATTGTAAAGACAGAGGTTGGTGGAGAAGCAGACGTCCTGTGCGTGTCTGAGTACCACAGATGCCTACTTCTCTGCCCCTGGACCAGCTGTGAGTTTCTGCATTAACCACCATGCACTGCACCAAGAAACCTCTTTGATGAGGTCTAAGAGCAACGCTAATCTGTGCGGACAGAAGCGAGGATTTAGAGGGCGGTTTGATACATTGTCCACTTAGCAGAATAATAGTAGCAGGTTTGCCCCTGGGGCCTGTGAGCTCCCAATCATGTTTTTTTGTTTGTTTGTTTGTTTGTTTGTTTGCAAGATTTACAGTACTAGGCGTGTGTTCTCTTCTGTGAGGTGGGCCTTAAATCCAACCAGAAAGCAGCTGATTATCTGAATGATGTTCATGTCACTGCTGCCCCCCATGGGCGTGTCTCACCATGCCAATCATTACAGGGTCCACAGCTGGGCAAAGCTGTTGGTTCCTTCTCTCCAGCACCTGTGAGAGACAGCCAGCAGGGAGGAAGCTTCCCGGTCAGTACCAACTTGACATCCTCATATTCTGTCACCGTGGTATGCTGTCTTTAGGAACAAGGTCTTACCGTCAAGTTCTGGTCGGTAGCCAAGAGCAATGGCAACAGCCTGTGTTGTCTGGTGGCGGGGGTGGGGGGGGTGGGGGCGGTCTCCACTACTCACTCGGCAACTGACAACTCTAAGGGCGTGTCCCACACTTTGAACTGGGGTTTTTATTTGGCAGTGTAAACCTTCTGGTAGGGGGGAGCATTACCCCTGTGTAGGGTGACTTCAATTATACTCTTTCATGTAAACACACACGCTCGCGCACACACACACACACACAAGCGCGTGAAGTTTATAAAACAGTTGATTTCTATATGATTTTTTGAAACATTCTTACACCCTTAGTGTTAATTATTCTTCCCCAATACACACTCCTCTGCCCTGCCCCCATCATTCGCCTTACCTCACTGTGTGTGTGTGTGTGTGTGTGTACATGTGTGTATGGAGGCCAGGGGTGGCACAGAATGACCATATATATCACTCTACACCTTATCTGTTGAGGTGGGGGTCTCCCACTCACCCTTGAGCATGGGCATTCACGCCAAGTGCATGTGTGGAGGTCAGAGGACAGCTTGCGGGGTCGCTTCTCTTTTTCTGCCATGTGGGCCTCAGGAATCAAGCTCAGGCAGTGACAGTTGGTGGCAAGCCTTTCACTCTCAGAGCCATCTTGCTGGCCCATGGATAAAATTCTTGAAGCTGCTGGTTGAATATTGAATAAGCAGCTGGGCGTTGGTGGCACACGCCTTTAATCCCAGCACTTGGGAGGCAGAGGCAGGGGGGTCTCTGTGAGTTCGAGGCCAGGCTGGACCGAATATTGAATAAGCAGGGAGGGAAGAGACAAACAGAAAAAGCCCCGCCCTTCTGCAGTAGGAAGAAAGGATTGGAGGAAGGGCAGGGCCCCTGCAGGTGCAGGTGGGAGGGTCTCTGTGCAGTGGCATGTCCGGTGTGTCCACGCATAGCAGGTGCACAGAAGCGGGGGGCCGGCAGCGGCAAGCTGAAGGGAATCATGAGACTTGGCTGTTAGATGCTGAGGAGACTCCCTGGCTGATTCTTAAACCACAACAGCCTGCACCAGCCACGGATGTAGACAACACCCCTGAGGCCCCTCCCCTCAGCCCCTCAAGGGAGTTTAGCTGTAGGTGTCATTCCCAAGGTAATCTCAGCGTCCAGAACCATCGATAACTCCCCGGTGTCTGAGACTGAATTTAAAGATGTACAGGGACTGTGTCTCTCTCCTGGCAGGGTCAGGGAGCTCAGTGGTGATGCCAACGACTCCAGGGTATATACCTGGACCTGTGTGGGAACCAGGCTCACAGTGAATAGTGCCAACCCCCTGCCCAAGCTATCCTCTGCAGCTGGGAGGCCAGCCCACCGGCCCCTCTGCCGAAGCCTACTGAACTCCTTACCTTCTGAGCTACCACTAGCGGCTCCCGGCACTGGGGATGGAGACTCAGGGGACTGGGGAGACTGAGGCAGTCATGGCTTTCTGTGTGTCACAACTGGCTAAGCCCCTCCACTTTTCTGGTTGGCAAAATTCTGGGGATCCAATGGGTCGTTTTATGCTGGGGTGAACACACCCTGTTAGCAACTTGGAAATGACAGACTTCAGGGAGTCAGCCACCTATTTTGGGTGGCATCTTCCTTTGAAGTGCCATTTCAGGGGAGATCTGGTTAGCTGTGACATTGTCCACAGGCTGGGTCAGAACTCTGTAAGGCAGGAATGGCATTGCCCCGACCCTTCCCTGTTCTCCTCCTCCTCCTTCTCTTCCTCCTCCTCCTCCTCTTCTTCCTCCTCCTCTTCCTTCCTCACTGACTCGGGTTTCATCCCCCTCCGGCCATGACTCATGCAGGCACTAACATCTACCAACTTTTAAAACGATGCCGCTGTCACTTCGGATTAAGGGTCAGAAACGCAGGGAGCCGTTGCCACAGCAGTCCTCAGTGCTGCCAAGTGACACGAGGCTCACTCTGTGCTTTGGAGGCAGCGAGGTCCTTACCCCAGCAGAGCTTTTCATAGTGTTGAAATGAGGAAGATGTACTTGGCTCATGAAATTCTTATGCTTGTCTGGCACCAAAGCAGCGAAACATCTGAGCTTTGACCCACTTAAGAAATGGAAGCAGCCGCTGAGTGGCTGGGGTGGTCCCCAAATTCCTGGCTCCAAAGCTGGAGCTGGTGACAAAGCGGTGGCCTGAACCCTCTTATAGTTTTATCTGGGTTTAGAGGGAGTTACTCGTGTTTCCGCGGTGATCTTTGTTAACGTTTCAAAAGGGAGTGGGGAGCTCAGGGAACTGGCACTTGGAGGCCTAAGTGGGGCGGCCTAGGTGCCCTGGAGAGCTGTGTCCAGATGCATGGCTCCACACTGAACAAAAGGGAAAGAGAGAGACAGCCGAGCCCCCCAGTGCTCACCCCGCCCTGCTTCCTGACCTCCCAAGATGTGAACAAGCACCCCCACACACTCACACTGCCGCTGCCAAAGTTCAGAGGCTCCCCAGCCACACTCCACCTGCCCAGCCCTTCAGCCCCTGAGTTGCTGTTTGCTGTGTATTTGGTCTTAGTGGTGAGAGAAACGTATGTAGAACACTGGAGGAATGATGTCCCATCCGGACATCTGGACGGCAGGCAGCTCTTTCAAATTTTAAGGCAAGCATTAAAACAAAGGCAGCGTTGGCTGATGCTTGTCGAACTCCTTGCTAGCTAAGATTTTAGGAGGCACAGAAAGCATTTTAAAACTTCTAAATGATTGTGTATTTTCCTTTGGAGTCCATTTTTGGTTTTCATTCCTCAGCTGTATAAGGGTTCATCTGTAGTTGACTTTTGCTTTCTTTTTATTTATTTATTTTTTATTTTCATCCTTCTGTGTGCTCTAGGTGGTAAAAGGAGTGTCCTAAATAAGTCATGGTACCAGCAGATGCGAGTCCTGAAGGTGACCCTAGTGTAATTGCCTTCTGGGAAACAGTGCTGGGTGTGAGAGACTGAGCCCAAGGGGTCATCACACCTTGATTTCAGGACTCCCGTCGGAGTCCTGATGCTGAACTTGGCATTACCTTACACCATGAGTGGGAGTGAGCAGTGAGCCTCCTATGACCAGGTAGCCACGTGGGAGACACACCCTAATAAGCCGGTGCTCTCCTCTGGTTACCGTCCTGCATAGCCCTTACAGACACAGATCCCACCCCTTTTAAAATGTATATTTTAGGAGAGACAGCACAGGCCAACAGACTGACTCTGCATGTGACGGTCGGTGATACTGCCTGGTCCTACCGCTAACAGATCTGTTGGTGTCTATTGTCCCTTGGCAAGCACAGTGACATACAACACAGCACAGCCTTTCTGTGCAGGGACGTTGGTCTCGTGGCCTGATAGCTTTCTGAGGACACTGCCCTCCGAAGGCCCACTGTGGGGTACATTCCCTTTACAATGGGGAGGAAGAGTGACCACCTCCCACCTCGGGGACAGCGTCCCTTCCACTCCCCACCTCCGTGATCTTGGCTGCAGTTCCAAGCAGCCGCCTCCATGGCAGGAAGCCACTGAACTCCTACCCTGTCTAGACAGCCAGTGTGCCAGCCGTTGGCGGGCTGACCCGGCTGTCTGTGTGCACACGTGTACATGGCTGTTAATTACCCCAGAATGTCTGCCCCAGCTGCTGCTGGAGAAATGTAGGTCATCTGGGTACCGCGGCAACCACGACTGACAGCGTGTGCGGTGAGTCGGGGTCACGGTGGCCGGCGACCTGGCCTGACGGGGCTGAGGCTCCTGACCGTAGGCGTGTCCACCACGTCCCGTGGCTGGTTTCCTTTGCACACTTCACAGTACTGTGCACATCTTCAGCCTAAGGCGCGCGGCTTTTCTGCAACGGACTGGAACAGTGCGGCATTGTGCATCCTAAATATGACCTTTCACGGAGCCAGACAGAGCCTTCTATGAAGCAATTTCCCTGGAATGGTCAATGTCAGTTCACCCCTGCAGCAGCCCTAGAAGGAAACCCTGGATCACATGGCGGCCTAATGCATTCTCCGCTTACAGATGGGGAAGCCACGGTTCAGCAATGCTGCACTGCTCTTTAAAGTAATGAGTGACTGCACAGCAAGCTCATTGCTCACGTGGCAAAACCTCCCGTTAGTTCCCTGCTGTCTTCCACGCTTACTCCAGCTTTACAGATGGGGAAACTGAGGAGCCGAGGGGGCCAATCACAAAGCAAGTATGATTCAAACTGGGTTAGTCCGTTTGCGTCAAGCTAAAACCCCAGAGTGGGCGGGGGTCCATCACTACTTTGGACAAACCATTTGGACTTAGAAAACATGAGGTAAGAGCTGAGTTTTGTGGTGGCTGCAGAGAGGCCCCTTAGCAAGAAAGAGTGAAACAGTGGCCTGGCCAACAGGTGGCCCCAGGCGGTGGCTCCAGGCAGAGGCTCTGAAAGCCAAAGCTGCCCAGTGCAGCAGTTTCCAAGTTATTCACCAGTGTGGACTCCACCCACCTTACCCCAGGTTTAAAAAAAATAAAAGATCCAGGGCCAGAGAGATGTCATCATGTAAAAAAGGGACCAAGTTCAATCCCTACGGATCTGTGTGAAGATGAAAGGAAGGAGCAACTCCAAACTCCACATGTACACTACAGATATCTGCACTCACGTGTTACACACACACTGATAAATGTGCACACTACAGATGTCTGCACCCACGTGTTACACACACACACTGATAAATGTGTACACTACAGATGCCTGCACCCATGTGTTACACACACACTGATAAGTGTATACACTACAGATGCCTGTACTCATGTGTTATACACACACTAATAAATGTGTACACTACAGATGTCTGCACCCACGTGTCACACACACACTGGCATTTGTCTGGAAAACCTAGCAGTAATGATGGTTTGTAAACTGGCCATTTGCACAAAGGTTCCGAGAAAGCACAAGAAATACAAGGATGTGGTATTCCCCAGGGGAACGGGGAGTGTCGGTGCACCTCCAAATACTGTGCTATAAAAATGTTAAAACACACAGGAACTGCTTGCACATAAGTTGTGCATATTCTTAGCATCTATGTGAGAAGTGCAGGGGTAACCCCAGCATTAATGGCAACCCCAGAATGGGGTAACCCCAGCATCAATGAAACCCCAGAATGGGGGTAACCCCAACATCAATGGCAACCCCAGAATGGGGGTAACCCCAACATCAATGAAACCCCAGAATGGGGGTAACCCCAACATCAATGGCAACCCCAGAATGGGGGTAACCCCAGCATCGGTGTCACCCCAGCATCGGTGTCACTGGGAGAGCCTGCATAAGTTACTTTCCCACTGCTGTAAAGGAACAGCACGACCAAGGTGACTCACAGGAGGGAAGGTTCATTTCAGCCTCTGTTTCTGGAGGGATGAGAGTCTGCCGACATCACAGGGAGGCTGCGGGGTTGGCAGCGGGGGTGTCCGCAGCAGGAAGCTGAGAGCACAAGAGGAATACGAGAGCCTGGAATGGTTCGTGGCTTTGAAACCACAAAGCCCACCCCCGGAAACTTCCTCTAGTGAGGCTGTGACCCCTAAGCCTCCCCAAACAGTGCCACCAATGGGGGACCAAGTATCCAATACCCGAGACTGTGGGGGGGCATCTCATTCAAACCACTACCTCAGCAGATTCCTGGAGTCATTCTAGCCAAATCTGGCAAGCTCCAGATTCAGTGGAAAGCCCCCCATATCAATAAAATAAGGTGGGGCGTGACTGAGGACAACACCCGAGGCTGAGCCTGGCCTGTACATGCACATGTACACACAGGTGCCACACACATGAACACCAAAGCCCGGAGGAGCCGGTGGAATCCATGGCCCACATGTTCACCTTCTAGCGTCTGCCTTTAGTCATGGAGCTGCTCTTGTGCCCTTCTGCTCTGTCCGCGACAGGCTACGTTTCCAGAGGACACTACTACCAGAGGGTGGCCTTCATCCCGTAAGATGTTCCAGACACAGTGGGGACGTGCCTTTGACTTTTGGTGGGTGTTTACATACAGAACATGGTGTTCTGGGAGGAGGGGGCAAGAGATGCCATCATTCCCTTAGGGGATGCTTCTGACTAGGGGAATGATGGCAAGCTCAGCGCCAGGCTCAGCCTGCCCCTCAGCCTGATGCCAGGCAGACCAAACAGCCATCTGAGACTCAGCCATTATTGTTTTCCCCGGTTTTCCCCCTGTGGGACAAAATGAGGTTGAAGGAAACGCCATGCCATCTGTGTGTGTGTGTGTGTGCGTGTGTGTGTAACAGCTATGAATATGACCCCAGTGCAGGCTCATCCTCCCCCAGGACTGGGCTTCTAAGTGCTTCTTATACCAACCCTGGTGGGGTGCCACAGCCCCCTTCATGTGGCTTGCCCTGTGTGGGAGACTGAAGTCTACAAATCAGACATGCAGGGTTCAGGGTACCCCCAGTAGACAGCACATCCTCCTGCCCTGTGGTCCAGACATCCTGCCAAACTGCCCCAAAGTTCTCCCTCAGGCCAGGGAGCCTTTCCAGCCACCAGACCAAGTGACACATCTAGCTCAGAGCTTCCCCAGGACTGCTCCTTGTCCTGACGTCTTTAGAAAGGACTGGAGTGGTGGCAGCACAGGAGAGGTGGCAGCAAGAAGCCACCTCCTGGCTTCCTACAAGACTACATGGAAACCCAGCTCTGGCTGCGATTAGGAGCAGGTTGTTAGAGCTTGAACCATGGTTCCTTCTCATGGTCTTTGAGAACCACCTGGAGAGAGCCAAGGTGGGGAGGGGAGATGCAGGGGAGAGCACACCATTGCACACAGAGATGCAGGAGAGCACACCATTGCTCACAGAGATGCATGGGAGTGCACACCATTGCTCACAGAGATGCAGGAGTGCACACACCATTGCTCACAGAGATGCAGGGGAGAGCACACACCATTGCACACAGAGATGCAGGAGAGCGCACCATTGCTCACAGAGATGCAGGAGTGCACACACCATTGCTCACAGAGATGCAGGGGAGAGCACACACCATTGCACACAGAGATGCAGGAGAGCGCACCATTGCTCACAGAGATGCAGGAGAGCACACCATTGCACACAGAGATGCAGGTGAGTGCACACACCATTACTCACAGAGTCACAGCTCAGTGGGTGCTGAGTTCCACGAAGGCTGTTGAGCTGCTGGGCACTACGCTGGCATTTGCCTGGGAGGAAGGGGTGGTGAGCAGAGACTTCCATGATCCGCAGCAACGAGATCAGCGAGAACCAGACTTCCGAGAAGTATGACAGGGTATCCTCACCGCTCACGCTCTGTGGGTGCTCTGTCACCTGCTCACTTGCTCAGAGTGAAATGTGACTTATGTGGGTAACGCCACCACACCTTGACAGTGAGTCACACACACACCTGGTTCCGGTTTCTCTTGTAATTATCCGTTTCTGCCCTCAAGGTGCAAAAAGTCCACAGAGAAGTTAGCTTTTAACCCTTTTGCTGATAGGACCAAGGAGACCAGTAAGGAGCCCCAAGTAATAACGCTGGGCTACTCCGCGCAACCTGTGCCCACCCTGCCCAAACTGCCCACCCTGCCCACCCTGCCCAACCTGCCATCAGTTGGCCTGAGTCCTGCTGGTAAAATCTTTCACCCCTCTCACCTCCTTTCCGGCCTGGAGCTCGGCTCTAGCAGGCCCTGTCTGAACCGTGGGACCATATGGAAAGACGCAAGCTTGGCATTAGAGGGAGCATTCACATACGACACCACTGCTAGTTTGCAGACTGTGTCACTTCCAGGGGCCATAATTTCTCATTTAGCTAATAAGGGTGCTAAGATCTGCCTCATGGACCACAGGTACAAAGGTCCTGAGGTAGCTTTTGGGTCTGGAAGATGGACTAAAAGGAGATTCTCCCTCTCCATCCCCTCCCCCCCCCCACAGTGTGGGTTCAGGGCAGGTCTACCTGTCTCATCTACAGATTCTGAAGCCCAGAGGGGCTGAGTCTCAGATCTCAGCTGATGGGCTTCCTGGTGGGACGGTCTGAAACTGAAGAAGTGTTTATGAAACACACAACTCCTCAAAGCCAGAAGATGCCCTTTAGGTACCTGGGCTGACCTGGGAAACCACAAGACAGACAGCTGTTGAAAAGAGACAGCAAGCCTCTCTGAAAATCGAGAGCGTGTACACACACACACACACACACACACACACACACTGCTGGCAGAGTGGAATTGAAGAGGCTTCGCCTGGCAGATTAATTAAGGATGGCAGTCTCATTAACCGCCGTCTGACCTCGGAAGCGCAGGCCCCCTGGGTGGGCGGCGTGGTCCAGGGTCGTTAACGGTGATGTGTGTGGACGCTTCAGAGAGACCGTCATCTCCCTTCAGGCCCAGCTCCTAACTGAAAAGGCCTTTGGCCTCCGGCTCTGCTTCCTTATTGCTTTGTGAACAAGGGAAGCCTGACTGTGGGACTCGGAGGGGCCCCTCTGGGGAGCATGAGAAAAAGAGTGCTACCAGCTACAGATGGGGTCTGTCACGGTCCCAGAGCCAGCAGGGGACAGGAGGACAGGTCCGCCATGTGGAGGGATCCTGTAGGTCTCTTCTTCCAGTCTCTGGCGTTTTTGCTGTGACACGCCTGGCGAGCATCCTACCCTGTGCTCTCTCTCTCCAGTCTTCCTTGAGTTTTAAAATAAAGCATCTCACTCTCCGCACAGTTCCATACGTTCTGGTCCCATCCGGGAGTCACCCACCGGAGTTCTGGGAGGCTGGTCCTGCTGAGACCTCACTCCATGGGTGGGTGGACTAAGGTTGGGGACACATCTGAGCCTGGCCAGGAACAGATGCAAGGCCGAAGCCCCTCTGCTGAGCTTCATGGCTGTGACTGGCACTTAACTATCTGCAATAGTTACGGTTAGCGGCGTTCACTGGTCATACAAGGTCATACGAGCCTCCAGATGCATGCTATTTGTCACGTTACTAACCTCCCAACTATGCATGGATGCTAGAAAAGGGCCTCACTTGGTGTTCTTAACCTTTACCCCCACAACGGGAGTCATCTGTGCCTTTCCAGGCATTGACATGCCGGCCAGAAGGTAGTCAGCCTGCACAGGCCCCGCAGATCTCGTCTCTGCCCGAACCTGGCTTTGTTCTGCAGAAAAGCAAGCATGGGGTCTCCGTCACTGCATCTTCTGAGAGCCAGGAACTGACTGGAATCGGAAAATGGGGGTCACTTGCTGGGTGGGGAAATGGGGGTCACTTGCTGGGTGAGGAAATGAGCACACTCGCTGAGTGGGGCAGTGAGGGGGGCACTTGTTGGGTAGGGGAATGGTGTGCACTTGCTGGGTGAGAAATGGGGCCCATCCACTAGTCTGGGTGCTTCTTTCTACTGGCTTGCTTAAATTAGATGCTACTTATTCAAGTTTCAGTCTGGGATTTCACTGATTCAGAGTTTTAGGCTCAAGTGTTCCAGGTCAGCATCATTTATCCCATGGGAGCCCTGAGCTCTGGCCTCCTCCTGCTGCTGGTTTTTTTTTCACCTCCCAGCTGACGCCTGCCTGTCACAGCTGCCAGACAGACTACAGACAGCCTAGTTAGATTAAACGTCAGAGTGAGGAGCAAGTGGTTTTAGTGCAGGTGTAGTTCAGGAAAACATGGGGTGTTGGGAAGACCAAAATATTTATTCATTGTTCTCAGAAGTTCCATTTTTAACTGGGCATTGTATGTTTTTATTTGCTGTTTAGTGTGCCACATGGCGGCAGCGCGACGGTGGTGGTGGTGGTGGCGGTGGCGGAGGTGGTGTGGCTACAGGGCCTCAACCCTCCTGCCCCCGAGAGGACCGGACACAGTTGGTTATAATAATCCTAATTTGTTTGCTGGCAGTGACTTCATGCCCACCTGAGAACCTTCTATGGACTTTGGGAGACAGAGGTCTCCAGAGGGGCAGAGGCTTGCCCAGCGTCACGTGTCACTGATGCTCGCTCCACCACCCCGTGAGCTGCACCTCATAGAACTGAGACACATGACCCCCCCATGTCCTCTAATGCCCACACATACTTCTTCCTTTGCCTACCTCAGATTTCCATCCTGCTGCTTCAAAGCCAGGGCCTGGGTCGACATCACCATCCTGTTCAGTTTCTAGGGAGACTGTTGCACCTTCTGTAGAGTCACGGGTTGGCTTGTGAAACCCTCCAAGACTCCCCACCATCTCCAGAGGTCTTTCTGGGTCTCACTCCTGGCTGTGTCTCCTGCCTGGATCACCACCGTTTGTCCTTTCCAGCAGGCCAAGAGGCTTCATGGCTGTCACATGGTCTCCATCAGCAGGGTGGTCTGGTTCACTCTGCCCCCTCATGTTTCAGGGATGGAGAGTGGCTTGGCCACTGCGACCGGAGAGCCTGGGTTTGATTTTGTGCTTTTGTTTTATGTGGCTCTGCCTTAAGGGAACCAGGGGGTTGGCCAGCCTCCAACCACTCCTGGTCGCATCCCAAAAGCCACCCCACAGAACTGAAACTCGAGGCACGCTCCATTACTTGCTGTGGCTTTGCCCTAGTTCTCGGAAACCCGGCTCCAGTCTGAAGATAAGCCGTTATGGGGCCGGGGAGGTGACGTCATTGGTGAAGCATTTGCTGCAACAGCACGAGGACTTGAGTTCAGATCCTCAGCGCCCGTGTGAAAATCCTGGTGCAGCAGTACCCATCTGTAACCTTTGTGCAGGGAAGCTGGTCCACGGGCCTCAATGGCCAGCTAGTCTAGACAATCAGCAAACCTCAAGGCTCAGAGAGAGAAACCCTGCTTCAAAAGGCAAGGGGGATGGTACCCTCTGGTCTCTAAATGCTTATGAGTGTCCATACCTGTGCACACAGCTGAGCTCCAACAAACACACCTACACGCAGGACACCCAGACACACACACATACACACACACACACTGTATGCATGCACACCTCCCCGGCAGGCACACACATGCAGATCCCACACAGAGAGACACAGACACACACCCCACACAGGCAGACACACACACACACACACACACACACACACACACACACACACACTACATACACGCATGTCAGGCCCGTGGCAGGGGGAGCTAGCAGTCCACTTTAGGCTTCTACATCTCTGTCAAGCAAGAAGCAGAGAGCTGGGCTTGAAGTGGCTTGAAGGACTAAAACCTTCACGCCCTACCCCTACAAACGATCTCCTTTTTCTATCTAGACCCCATCCCTTCACAGCCTCAGTCACCCAAAACAGTGCCACCAGCTGGAGCCCAGGTGTGCAGATTCCTGAGCCCGTGGCGGCATCTCAAACCCGAGCTATAATACTTGGGAACATCTCAGACTTGAGCTATAATACTTGGGGACAAGGAGCCCTGACTCACTGCTGGCCACTAAGAGCACCCACGCTTTCCAACTTAGTAAAGGTCGCCTACTCTGCTCCTACTGTGCTGGGGTCCCTGGGGCCCATTGTGTTGATGGGCTCTAAGGCTTTTCTTCTTCCTTTTTTGGTTTTTCGAGACGGGGTTTCTTCGTGTAGCAGCCCTGGCTGTCCTGGAACTCACTCTGTAGACCAGGCTGGCCTCGAACTCACAGAGATCCACTTGCCTCTGCCTCCAGAGTGCTGGGATTAAGGGAGTGTGCTACCACTACCCAGCAAGGCTTTTCTTCTTAAGAGAGGGGTTTGAACTATAAGCCTTCAGCTGGGAGGAGGACCTGCCGGAACCCACCTAGGCACCAGGCAGTCCTGGCTTCTCCTTTCCCAGCCCTTTAGCTCAAAGCAATGGGCCGCTTATGGTCTAAACTATTCACATTCCTCTCTGGTGGCCACGGGGAGATTTAAATTGAAGTCTGTGAGAAATGCTTTGCTCCCCTGACTAAGGTCATATTCTTGGTCTTTACTTCCCCTTCATGTCAGGAAAAGCTTCCAGCTCAGGGGGCCACCAACAGGAAGACTAAACACACAGAACTCCGGATATGAGGTCACTGTCCCTGCTACTATCTGTCTCCTAGCTCCTCAGTCTAAGAGAACAGTAAGCATCATTTGCTCAGGCTATTAGTGTAACTGGGAATTCCGCCATCCGCAGCCTACAGGGTTCCAGTGAACTACTGTCCGTCAGGATTGTATGACTTTTATCTGGAAGAGTCTAGAAACTCTAGGCAGTACGGGTCCTAAGAAATGGCCTTTCTCTGGTCCTCAGACACTTGCATTGTCAGGGAATGCAGGTCACAGGGTGTTAATGAAAGTTTTCTTGTCCTACCAGGTCCACGGCCTCAGCTCCAAATGAACACACAAAGACTTATATTAGTTATTAAACTGATGACCGATGGCTAGGGCTTCTGATTGGCTAGCTCTGCCTTAATTATTAACTCATTTCTATTAGTCTATGTATTTCCATGCAGTCTTGGCTTACCAGAGAATGCCCTGACCTGTTATTCCTTTATGGTCTACATGGCGTCTCTTTTGGTGGGCTCCCTCTCTACCTTTTCCAGAATTCCCCTCATCTAATCCCGTCTACCTTCCTGCCTTATTGGTCAATGGTGTTTTATTCATTAACCAATA